TTCATCTCCATGTCTCAACGTGTGTCCTATCATCTGCCATCTCCTTCTCTTTATAATGTCTATAAATGTTCGTTTTTCATCTATTGTCCTCAGGATGTCTTCATTTGATCTTCTATCAGTCCAGCTTATTCTCTGCATCTTTCTCCAACACCACATCTCCAGAGCTTCTAACATATCTTTTTCTTTCTTATTAATTGTCCAGGTCTCACTTCCGTATAATGCCACACTCCAGACGTATGTTTTTATGAGCCGTTTCTTCGTTACTATGTTCATATTTTTTGATGTTAGTATTTTTTTCTTTTTAAGGAATGTATTCTTTGCTTGACCTATCCTGCTTCTAATTTCCTTGGTTGATTTCCCGTCGTCTGTTATAATGCTGCCTAAGTATTTGAAATAGTCTACTTGGATAATTTCTTTGTTTTCTAATGTTATATTTATAGATGGTATGTTTTTCTTGTAGCATACTAGGGCTTTGGTCTTGGCTGCATTTATTTTCAGACTATATTCTTTGAACGTAATATTCATTACATTTAACGCTGCTTGTAAGTCTTCCTCAGATGTTGCAAGAACGACTATATCATCAGCGAAGCGAAGCATTGTTATTAGTACCCCTCCTATTTTTACTCCAATTCCTTTTTGTTCTAACCAAAGCTTTATGACATTTATTGCTTTTTCAATAAATACATTGAACAATGCAGGTGAAAGTGGGCACCCTTGTCTCACACCTTTTTGGATTCTGGCAGTCACTGTTGTTGTATTAATATTAATAATGGTTTCTTGTTCTTTATACATTTTATAGAGAATACGTCTGTCTTTAAAATCTATCTCTGTTTCTTCCAAAATTTTAAAGAGACTTGTCCATTTTAAGCTATCAAATGCTTTTTCTAGGTCTACAAAAGCCATATAAGTGATTTTTTGTCTCTCAATTTGCTTTTCAATTATTACTCTCAGACCTAAAATAGCCTCCCTGGTTCCTTTGTTCTTCCGGAAACCATATTGATCGTTTGCTAATCTAGCTTCTATCCTCTTACTTATCCTTTTACTTACAATTATTGCTAGTAATTTAGCCGCATGCGATATCAAGCTTAAGGTCCTAAAATTTTCGCACTGGTTGGCTCTAGGTTTTTTTGGTAGGATAACTAATCTACTACATCCAAAATCTCTCGGAATTTTCCCAGTCTCGTATATTTGACATAACAGTTCGTACAGAGCGTTCTTTATTTCATCCCCTGTCTGCTGTAGGAGTTCTGTGTTTAATTCGTCTGGGCCTGGTGCTTTGTTTTTCTTCATTGTTTGAAGTGCGTCTTCAAACTCTGATTTTAGAATCCTTGTATCTGCATTTGAATCAAAGTCGCCGTCGGTTGGGGTTTCAACGAGTAAGTCGGTGTTTATTTCTTCTCCATATAGTTCTTCTACGTATTCTTTCCATCTATTCGCTATCGCTATTTCATCTATAAGTAAATTTCCCTCTTTATCCTTTACGTGTGTGCATTGTGACTTTTTTTCATTGAAGTATCGTTTAATGAGTTTATATGCCTTATCCTGTTGATTGTATTTCATCATATTGTCTATTTCTTCACAATTCTTTTCAATCCACATCTCTTTGGCTTTTTTTGCTTCACGGTTTATTTTATTTCTTAACGTCTTATATTGTCTTTTACTTTCTTCATCTGTTTTGTTTTTAAGCAATCTTCTTCTTTCTATATCTTGAACTATTTCCATTGTTATCCATTCGCGTTTCGGTGCTGGTTTTTCCCTAGTTAATATTTCTTCTGCAGACTGGACAATAGATTCTTTTATGCGACGCCATCCATGCTCTATATGGCTGGTGTTTGTACCGACAACGATCCATACTGTACCGTGCATCCATACCTACCTAATATGCAGTTATTATTACAATCGGACGTCAAAATACACACAAGTTAACGACAATACCTACTAAATTAGTACTAAAGCCCTGATAGCCATATGATTCAAAACTGCGACACCTACAAAATGTAATAAAACAATTTTGTCATTTTAAAAGGACCATTTAATGGTATTAGTTAGTGATGGCAGTGTATTAGATAGTAGATACTTTTAAATGGCAATGTCGTACTAAAACAGAAAGTCGTACAAAGAAAAAAGTAGTTTGCAACTACAGGTAAAAATAAGCAATATTTCGTTTTAAATTTAATTTGTATTATTTATAAAAGTGCTTCATTGCGTAAGTCGACGTTCTTTTACCGGTTCTGCTTACCTTTAATTTCCATTTGTGGTTTTGTGAACCTATGGTCGATAAATTGTCCATCAAGCGTTATTCAAATGCAACTTCGATTGGCCAATCAAACTGTTGTGGATTGGGGATCGGTCTGTAGGGAAGTAACGTTTGATGCGATGATCTAAACAAAACTCAATTGGGAGGTATTGGTAAAACGGTGTAGATCGATGAGTCGAAATTCGGTCGCCGTAAATACCATCACAGAGTAGAAGGCCAATGGGTTTTCAGTGGAATTGAACATGAAAGCGGTCAATGTTTTCTCGTCCCAGTTGAAAACCGTAATGCCGATACGCTCGTATTAATTTATTTCGGAATAAATAAAACCAGGCGACGGGCACTACAATAATTTCGGATTGTTAGAAGGTATTTATTTTATTTAGTAAACAAATAATAAAAGAACCAGCGGCGTATTATTGTTATTATTATTATTGCAATTAGGCGTACGACAGACTGGGCGAATACGGGTACAATCACCTTACTGTGAACCACAGCATTAATTTTAAAGACCCCGAGACCGGTGCACACACAAATGCAATTGAATCGACTTGGCGTCACGCGAAGACGTCTTTACCGGCGTATAAAAGAACAAACGATTTTTATGGTGGGTACTTGCGTCTACTTAGCAAAATACATGTTTTTAAAACAATGTAGAACAAAAAACCTTGACCCTACCATAGCATTCTTTGGGTATGACGGCGCTCTCTACAACCTCGAAAGAAATGTCGAATTGGAAAAAGAAGACGACGACAACGAAAATGGAGAAAAATATGAAAATTATTTTTGAAATTAACTTTTTACCAATAATAAAACATAGTATAAATATATAATAATATAATATATAATATTCTACTTGATATAACTTAAAATTCCGATCGGGTCTGTACGACTTTCATTTTGAACAACAATAATTAATGCGACCACCATCATGGTAGCCACTATAGTCCAGTGTAGGTATATTTCTGTTGAATATATATGATTTAGCTAAAATAGTACAAGACAAAATATCTTTATTATACTAAAGTTTCCAAAATAGTTTATACCTTTCTAGTGAGTAACATTTTTTTAAAGGCAAGGTACCTATTTTTAATAAAGTATATTTACTGTAACATACTTAAACAATTTACAATCGTTTTTTTAACAATAGTGACATGAAAATAAATTCTGTTTGACCTATGAATAAAAATAACTTTTTTTTTCAGAAAGGATCCAAAAGTGTCACAAGAATATCCAATTTCTTTCAAATTCAAAATAATCAATTGTCAAATTGTGTACCTATATAATTTTTCAAAAACCAAAATGATATATTTCACTACATAATAAACTTTTACTATTTGGTTAATTTTGAAATGTTATGTTTTTCGTTAATTACACTTAGATATTTTGACTGAACACCACAGATTTATTTACTTGTTTTGGATAGCAATTTTTGTGTTAAAGAGAATAATATAATGGAAACATAAAACATTACTATAGGGTCGCGTTAACTAACTTGAATCAGGATTTGTTCTGAAGCGTTTGCGAACTGAAAATCAAACGAAGCAAATACTATTAAATTTAAAATGTCGATAGTGTTCAAGAAATGTGTATAAATAGCAATAATTGCAATCAAAAGAATTAGGATTAGAGGAAAGAAAAACGAAAGAAGGAAGAATTTAGCATGATTACAGTCACCGAAGCGTTGACCGAGCTCATTCACAAATCTAAAACAAAAATCAATGCAAACTAATCACAAAAAAAAAATGGCTGGGGATGATAAAATCACTTTAAAAAAACAAAGCACAGTCCGAACAACTGACTTATTACTACTAATCATTTATGTATCATACTTTTTTATTGTGCTCTCGGTTAAGACTCTACCTACTGGTTTAAACCTATCCACATATTCGCATAGAAACGTTTTTCTAAAAGTGATTTTATCACTTTCACTTAATAATTTCTGTAAACCTGTGACCTCCCCGTCCCCACTATGCCCCGACCCCACTCATATACTGGCTTTTTATTGTTTATTTTTTAGCTACTAATAATGATAAATTAAAATTATCGATAGACAATAGTTAATAATATAATAATTAGGTTTAATGAAGGTATCATAATATAGATTATTGGTATCTATACATATCGATGGTCATACTACACCTACAGAATAACCAGAAGGGAAGTTGTAAACAAATTAAATGGGCCTTATGGGCCACTGAAGGCGGCCGATTGCCTGATATCGTATTCGCGGCTGGGAGACAGATACTATAAAGCCGCGTCCACGTTGCCGGGCAAAACAACGTTAGCGAACATGTTTGGTACTCTGTGGGAAACATCAAACACCTAAGAAATGTTCGTGGGAACGTACACATACACGAGCACAATACCCCTTTTAATTGACAAACGTTTTGTGCGGTAGTAATTGACCCGGCTTAATAGTACAAAATAAGAACCATAAGGGAAACTTAGGCCGGCACTGATAAGTGTCCCGCCATTTTTTTTTTGGCGGATTACGTACAATTATCATGGTTTTTCCTGGAATTATTTATAATCCGTCTATTATAGTCTGACTCCCAGTCGCGAAAACAATAGAGCAGCCGGCCTTTATTGGCGGCTATAATAAGAACCCATGTAATATTTCAAAGTTTCCCTTCTGATTATTCTGGTGTTGTGATAACAATTAAATGTTATATCTTATCATTCGTACGTTAAATTTTAAGGTTATGTTTTTAATCGTATGTTGAAAATGGTAGTGATTAGCATTAGTTAGCTGAAAACAATAAATAGCCAATGGGTAGTTATATTACAATGTTGTACCTGCTTATTAGTCATTACTCATTAGATATGTCATCTACAAATCACAAATGAAATTAATTATGTAAATTTCGGTGATACAATTTGTGTTAGTAAACTAAATATTTAATGACTTTTACTTTTTTGATAATAACGCTACAATAGTGTGTATTAAAACATGAAAAATTATATTATATGTATGATACTTTAGCTGACTAAAAAAGAAGGTAGGTTGGAATGTAAAATCTTTTAATTAATTGTATTTCTCTGGTAGGATGACAGAAGTTTGTATATTCCTTTGCCATTTTATCGAAAAATACAGTTAAAGTTTTGTTGCAAAATGTATTCTTAAGTATTAGCTTTCATATTAGCAATCTTAGCTTAATTTTAAAATCACCTAGCCATACAATATTTTACCACTTAGTGTAATACCTATTTTAAAACATATCTGTCACAGATAAACTGTGTAATTAACCGAAAATTAACAAGAAATTATGTATTAGCTACTGTTAATAGATTTATGGTAATGCTGTTAAATATTTTGTCTTACTTTAAATCTAAATAGTAATAGTATAATGGTAATAGAACTTAGGAATTTTCTAAAGTTTGTTATCTTGGTCTTAACATATTATTAATTTTTTTTTTTTGTTATGTTTGTTATAGTTAACAATGTTTTGTCCTAATGGATCATTTTTTTATGAATGGAAGGAGGGTACAAATTCAGAATGTTTTGTGGATACGGGTGTTGCCAGTATAATATCAATATTTATGATTATATTCGGAACAGCACAATGGTCCGTGTACAGAAAATATAGTACACCTCTATCACAGGCCGTTATACCGCAGTCGAAATTATATTGTATACAGATGATTATAACGTTATTACTACCAATACTGAGTGTGGCAAAATTTTTTGTTGATGTATATCTTTTACAAAATGGTGTTATATATGGATTTCAGGTAAGTTTCAGTTAAAAATAAATGCTGTTATTATTTTCTTTACTACAACATTATGTACATTTTGTAGGCTGTTTACATGGCTGTAATGGTTATTGTGTTTCCTCTTTCTGCAAAACTTATATTAATGGAAAGACATAGTTTATTACCATCAATGCCAGCCCGTGGACATGGATTGGTACTCCTAATATTTTGGACATTGATTTTTGTAGCTAAAAATTTAACTTTTATTACCATTAAAAAGGAAGACTGGTGGTTTAACATAGACAGGTAAAGAAAATAATATGCACACAATATTCTAATTACGACTATGACTAATTAAAATTGTTAATACATTTAATCAATAGTTTTATATATTTATTTTGTTAATAGAATCACAACACTACTATAAGTGTTTACATAAATTAATTTACTTACAATAGCTGTCTTTTATTTTCTTAACAATTTAGTAGAAATTCAAGATTTGAGTAGCTAAAAATTAAAAATTCAAGATTATAATCATAGACATGTCATATTTTCAAAGAAATACATCTTAAGCACACTACTGGATGTAGTCTCTCTCTCTTACATTTAACGTCCGTTGTTCCCGCCGATCGGGGCTTAGACGGTTTAGATTTGGCATTTTTGGGCTCATAGCTGGCTGCCAACTTAACGCTACCAAACGAGTTGGCTCCAGAGAGGTGCAGGTGGCCATTTTTCCCCCCAGGGAGTTGTCCGTTCGGAGAAACAAACCGCCACTGGTTCGAACCGACGACTGTGCATTGATACACTGCCGCCTTCTCACTCTGCCATGCGCCTGCACTACTGACTAGTCTCTGATCCAAATTATTTTGTTCTCGAATATAAAATCAAGATTTGTGCACAATGCACACCTACGATAATATGGTTACACAAGTGTGGTTGTAGACTTTGAATAAATAGAAAATTCAATAGCTAATTAGTTAAGTTTTTAGTTTTTAAAAACTTCCATAAAACAACTGTGAAAAGTATATACAATAATATTGTGCTCTAATAAATGTGCATTTATCAGCACATGTTTTTCTATTAGTAGTTAACTACATAGTTATTGGATAACCGTCATTCAGCTCAAAATGTTGAGATGATAAATTGACGTGCAAACAGGAAAATTATTGTTTATTATTGTAGGAAATATTGTATTAGCATTTGGAGCTAATTGACAGGTATCCAACATGGAATTTCACAAAAATATAATATATATAAAACATGTTTTAACACTAATAATATGTGTGGTAGAAGGGCAAAAATTTATATTTCAAGTATAAATTAAATGACATCAACTATTACCTAACCTGAAGCAATTGATGTATAATAAAACTTAAATTTGTTTTACAGAACAAATAGCAAAATTGAATTGTCTCTGTTCATTATGCAATACACTTTGAGCTTGTTGCTATTTCTTTTGGGATTGAAAGCACCTGGATTAATGACAGCCAGAGATTATTTTAGCTTAAATAATTCATCTGATTTATTTTTGGATGTAAGTATATGTTGTATATGTGTAAAAATATTAGTTGTGGATCATATGATAGTTATGGTACTCGTAAAAGTGTGGCGTTGAAAGAAATACATTTACTTATTTAATACTAGTTTGACATTTAACAAAAATGTGTCGGGAAACTGTGAAGGCATACCTAAATATCAAATAAAATAGTACACAATATCTGACATTTATTAATCATAGGCTTCAATGATTTTGTTGATTATATTATACAATAATACATATTGCCTACTTACAAATTATGCAAAGTCATTTCCATAAAATGCTTAGTGATAGGGTTTTTACTCTAATTTATGTAGGTTACTTGCATCTTATTTAAAATAAAAAAATATCTATTACAGTATCGATAATAATGTTAATTGCAAAAATAAATAGCTAGTATACTCAAAATCTAACATGATATCAATATTATAATTATTACAAATGTATATATTTTTTGACTTGACAGGCTTTTTTAAGTCTCATTTAAATATGTCATTTATAACATAACTGTCTGATGTATCTTAATGTAATTAACACATATTTGAGTATATAAGAATATAAGAAATAGGCGTTTTGAACTAAATAGTTAGATTTGTCAGACCATTAAGCTGATTTCCACTGATTAAAGGTCTAACTTTTATATAGTTGAGCATAGCTAACTTTTTTTTTTTTGATTGACTTCACATAAAATATACATACATATATTATATGTTCTTTTCACTGCAAACTCCCTAACGGACTTTTCCTCTTAGTTGTCTTTCAACTGCTGTCACCGAAATCAAATCTTTACTTTTTGTAATTTTAGTGAAAATATCTAGCACTGTAGTATGTATTGTGTTGGTTTATGTTGCTAAGGATTACTATTATTCTGTCGTCAGTTTTTTCAATGTTTTTTTGGCCTTCTAACACTCTTTAATTTGAATTCAAACTAGTTATGGTAAAGCGATTGCAAGTAAAAATTATTGAGGCTTATATAAAGCCTTCTTTCTCAAAATGGAAATTTGAACCAGCTTTACAAGTATTATACTCAATTCTGTTTTCTGGTTTAAGAGGAGTTAATATAAAAGAAAGAAAATCAATAAAGAGTGCCGTTTTAGTAATGAAAAGTGGAATTATGATTACTTCTACATTAAACAAAATAACCTTACATTGTGCGTTATTTGTAAGGGAAAGGTTGCAGTTTTGAAAGAATTTAAAATTCGTAAACATTTTGGAACCAAGTACTCATGTATATAGTAGACTACCTGGTAAACTACGATCAGATAAGGTTGAAACTTCAAAAACAAAATTTACTAATGGTGAATTTGTTAAGCGGCAGAACCAATGGCTATGAGTGTGGTTGTGCGGATTATAAATTTTATTCAAAAAGTGCTCTCAGCCACCATCAGTTATATTCTCTACTATTGAAAAATCTGTTGGCTCAGTTGAAGTATTGTCTTAAAAAACAATGTTCACATAATTTTAGGAATCAATATATTTACGACAGAAAAAAACAACGTTGTGCCTGAGTTAGCTGGTTTTTCATGGGTCTAGTATTTCTGGTTGTAATGACTCAGTGCCTAAATGAGTTAAATTTAAATCTTCAAGACACAAACTTGGTAATTTTATATTCATACATTAAAGCTTTTAAATTAAAATCAAGTCTATTCACAAACCAACTAATAAAAGAAATTCTGGTCCATTAACCAACCTGCAGCAAATTCAAAGGATTTCAAAAGTGCAAAGAGCGCGTTCGACTTTCAGAAATCTCAATCGCGATAGAAATTGAAAAACGAGCAAAGCTTCAGCTTTTATTGAGCTCACAACAAATAACCATCTCAAAGACTGTTTCAAGGAAACCGGACAACACAAATTTTACTTTTGTTTGCCGCCAGAGGAATCTTTTCCAAATTTTGACTTAAAATTATTTCAAAATTTAGCTTCTACCTATGTGAGCAGACTTTTTCAAAAATGAAATACGTCAAATCTATGTGTAGTATTAACTTAAGTGATAAACATTTACAAGCGACGCTGCAAATTGGAACAACTAAGTTTTATGCAAAGTGCCAAACAATTTTAAAATAAGCAATTTCTAACTTCTCATTTAGTAATTGTTATTTATGTAATTCGTATGTTACTTAACATGTTACTCAGTTTTGTAATAAAACAATTTTTTTCTTTGTAATTTATAATCGAGTAAAATAATAAAATCGTAATTAAATAATTATTTTCTCTCTTCAGTTTCATTACCTCTCTATCTTTTTCTAAACAATTCTGGCCCGCAATGCCAAAGCGTACCTCAGATTTGGTCCGCTCTATAAAAAAGTTTGGAGACCCTGATTTAAGCATTTCATCAATGTTTCAGCTCATCAAATTTAGATAAATATTTTATTTATAACTGTCATCAAGTATGTAGAAAAAATTATTTATTTACATGAAATGAGATTAAAATGTTAAACATTGATTTTTTTATTTTATTCTATTATTATTTTATTTATTTGTTTTTTAATAAAATTACATTCAATACACAATTTTATAATAATTGGTGTGTAAGTTTTCGTAATAATAGTAATCACAATATAATAAATACTTTAACTAACTAATATGAACTTCATTAAAATTATATTAAAAATTAAGTGTATAAAATTAAGATACAATTTAATATTCATAAATTTCTTAGCGTGGTTTTGCTCTAAAACAATCATGGACTAATTAAAACGCAATCTGTGTAGCTAATTTTTGTAAAAATATCTTATTAATCAATATATTTATTTTTTAACATAAGTGTTAACTATTGACGACATATTAATACCACATTAGAGTGGTCCTTCTTTACCTTGTAGATTTAAATAGTTCACAACTCTAATTGATAATTTTGCCCAGAGGCGCTTAGAATACCACTTGGAATTTACTCTAATTAACTATACCTTTATCTTGTAGTATAGTCATTATAAGATATCTATGGTGACAAGTAGTATATTCTGATTAGTACTGCAAATCTATGTATATTTTTATGTGATAATCTATGTCTGTAATATTTTTTTTTTGTCAGTTATTTAATTTTTAGTTAAAAAACTAGTTAATCATACATAATAATAATAATAGTAATAGCCTTTTGTTATGACTACTTTGTATTGGCAACATTTTCAATATGAGGCGTACCAGACCATTCTTAACAATGGTATTTACTGATTTCATCATATTACATACAAATACAATATGTTTGGTGTATTAGTAATTTATATGTGTTACATAATATGTATAAATATGCTTTTAGTCCGATCGTACGGAAGAACAATCAACGTGGAGCAATGCAAAACGAAAAATAAAGATTCTTGCTCCGTTTATTTGGCCAAAAAAGAGCTTGGAACTTCAAATTCGAGTAATTTTATGTCTTCTACTTGTTGTAGCTGGTCGTGTAGCTAATGTCTATGTACCATTATACAGTGGCTATATAGGTAATTTAATATTTTTTTTTTTTTTTTTTAATGAATTATTACTAATATTTTGTAAACGTTCATAGTTGATAGTTTAACTGCAAAACCACTTGTCTTTCGATGGGATTTAATTCTTGTATATGTTGGGATCAAATTTTTACAAGGAGGCCTGAGTATGGGTTTTTTAAACAATCTAAGGAGCTTCTTGTGGATTCGAGTACAGCAATATACCAAACGAGAAGTCGAAGTATGTAGCTACTTTTAATAAAATTAAAATAACGTCTCTCTTTTACTTATTTCTCAAGTACCTAATTTTTTAAAACTTGGTATGTTTCACTATTTCAGGTTTCTTTATTTCGGCATCTACACAGTTTAAGTTTGAAATGGCATTTGTGTCGTAAAACTGGCGAAGTATTACGTATTATGGACCGTGGAACAGACTCGACAAACAGTTTACTATCATTTATTTTGTTTAATATCGGCCCCACTATAATCGATATTCTCGTTGCAGTTATTTTTTTCTTATCATATTTCAATTGGATGATGGGAACGATTGTTTTTATTACAATGGTCTTGTATATAGGTAAGAAGTACTCAAAATTGATATAATTGTTCACAAAGAAAAAAATGTATGTAAAAATATAATCAATTCGTCATTTTATATTTTATGTAGGGTTGACAATAACAATTACTGAATGGAGAACCAAGTTTCAACGTCGTATGAATTTAGCAGATAACCAAATGGAAGCACGCAGTGTCGACTCTATGTTAAATTTTGAAACCGTTAAATATTATGGAGCTGAAGAGTACGAAGTTCAAGCTTACAAAGAGGCTATTATGGTTTATCAGGTATTATTTTATTGGGGTTTCTTAATTGTCATAGAAGTTATATAGATAATGGTTGAAATGCTTTTTGGTTTAAGCAACATCATAGTTTTCTGTAAAACAAACAAATTTTATCTAATGTTGTTATTAAATTTGTCAGATCGACAAAACTTTTCACAGAAAAACTTTTCGATACATTTCTACTTATTAAAACCTTATAATTTAAATATTTAGGCGATTTTATTTGCTATGCCTTTAAAATTAATTTAATTAAAATTTAACTTTTCTACCAAGTTGTGTTTTAACCATCATTATGGATTTTGGTAAAATTACACTCTAACATTGAGTATAATGATTATTTAATAAATTTAATTTTGTTTTAGAATGAAGAATTTAAAACAATGGTGTCTTTAGCAATTCTCAATACTGTACAAAATATTATTGTTTGTATTGGGTTGTTAGCTGGTTCATTGCTTAGTGTTTATTTTGTTGTTAATACTCATGAATTAACAGTTGGGGAATATGTTTTGTTCACTGTGTACATCATTCAACTGTATGGACCATTAAACTACTTTGGTACATTTTATAGGTTAGTTATATTTGTTTTTTCGTATGGTAAAAGTTTCTGTTTTCTATTGCAACTAAATACATTTAATAAAATTTAATTATACATTATTACTAGAGCAATTCAGAAAAACTTTGTTGACATGGAGAACATGTTTGACTTAATGAATATAAAACCAGATATTGCAGATGCGCCTGGTGCTAAAGATCTAGTACTTAAAGGCGGACAAGTAGAATTTCGCAATGTGGTATTTTCTTATCAACAAGAACGAGCTGTGTTAAAAAATATATCATTTATAGTTCCACCAGGCAAAACATTAGCATTAGTTGGTCCGTCAGGCAGCGGAAAGACTACCATAGTTCGCCTGTTGTTTAGATTTTACGATGTTGACTCTGGCGCTATTTTAATCGATGATCAGAATATAAAAATGATTACACAATCATCATTGAGGAAAGTTATCGGCGTGGTTCCACAAGACACTGTGTTATTTAACAATAGTATTAAGTAAGTTTAATATTCTATTTAGCTACTATAAACAATAAGTTGAGTGATTATAATAAAAAATACTTTGTGCAAGCTAAAAAAATATATGAATTATTTTCCTGTAACTTCAAATCTAAGATTTTTATTTCTCAAATAACGTATTTTAGATTTAATATTCAGTACGGAAGAGTTGATGCTAATGACGCTGAAGTGATGAATTCTGCAATGTCGGCAGATATTCACGATAGAGTTATGAAATTCCCAGAATTATACGAAACTCAAGTAATTAAATATAAGATTCCGGTTAATGTTTCATCATCTTATATAAGGATTTTTTTTTTATCTTAGGTTGGGGAAAGAGGTTTAAAACTTAGTGGTGGAGAAAAACAACGAGTTGCCATAGCAAGGACATTGCTTAAAGCACCCGCTATTGTGCTTCTTGATGAAGCTACTAGTGCATTAGATACTAAGACAGAACGTCAGATTCAAGTAAGTTATTACTAAAAAATATGTTGCAGAAGTATTGAATAACCTATATTTAATGTGTGTTCAACAAAATAATTTTTTTAGGCAGCTTTAGCTAAAGTATGTGCGAATCGAACAACAATAATTGTAGCGCATAGATTATCGACAATAATACATGCTGACGAAATAATAGTATTGAAAGATGGAGAAATTTATGAAAACGGAAGGTAATTAATAATAACACAAATGTAAAATTTCATTAATGAATGCTAAAAAGTTGAAATTTATTTTAATATTAATTATGAAAGAAATTTACATGTTTTTGTTTGTTTTATAGACATGATGATCTAATAACAAGGAATGGCTTATATGCGGATATGTGGTCAGAACAACTAAAATCTAGCAACAGTACAGTATTTTCTGATAACGTGGATGATTCAGCTACCGTAGAAGATTCCGAAAATGACCCATCTGTTGAAAACCGTTCACATATTTAGGGAATTAATAATGTAATAGGGGAAATTGTATGGGAATTTTAGTCAGATTATTATTTGAAATATCCTCTAATAGTTGTGCTAGTTACAAGTTACTAAGTCAAGTATCTAGTATTTTTTAAATATCTATTTAATGTGTTTTAAAAGTAACACATTTTAGTTTTTATCTTATTTTATCACTTTGCAAAATGAAACTTACCATAGTTTATAATTTTAATATACTTGAGAATAGTTTACCACTACAGTCTGTAGTTTTAAAAGGTTGCTTAGATAAATACATGTTATTTATTTTATTGACAAAGTTGGTGTTAACTTTAATTCACACAATGTGATTGAAAATAGTATTGTTGATTTTGTATACGATTTCATCATCAATGAATTTTTTTATAACATATAGATTTTTTTATGACATTTATTATTCTTTATGCTCTCTGTTATTAAATATGTACTGTTTTTTTTGGTTACAGAACAACTATTTAGTTAAATTACTGATACAATAAAATAGATGTTATTTTGATCAAAATGTGCATTTTTACTTGATAAAACCTTATTTTAAATCTCCTCTAACTCTGCATACACGGTAAATAATTTGGCTAGCCATTGTGACTTCTGTTCCATGTAAATACTAGTATAAAAATTCAAAATGTTTGACAATTAACTTTTATTTATAATTTATCTTCAAATACTATTTACTTTAAGCTTATCTATGAGAAGGTACATACAAGACAAGATTAGGTATCTGCAGTATTATATTATACAAATGACGGTCACACATTAAAAATAAACAGGTATACCTAATAGCACCATTATTTTACATTGAAGCATTTAATTTAGGTTAGTTGTGTAAAGATAAGTATCATAGTTATTTTTTTTAATGCCGGTTGTAAAATTGTTGCAACACGAAGGCCATTAAAAAATTAGTTATCCCTTAACGAGATGTATTTTTTGGTAGCATTGTTTTTATTTTATAGTGTTGAAAATAAATAAATGCACTGCAGTATAAGAAACCAGCAGGATCATATAGATGGCCTGTGAAACTGTGAAAAGCAGTATGAAGTAACGGAATTAGTGGCTAGTAAAGGTATACAAAATAGCAATGTGCGAGGGAAAAATTACAGATGTTTGGAGAAAATGTTATCTAAATGCAGTTTTTAAGAATAAAAACAATATCCAAGAATGTGGAAATTATAGGGGTAACAAAATGAGCCACCAAGTGAAAGTAGTAGAGAAAAGATTGATATGTGAATCATTAGTGTCGGATAATCAATTTGAATTTATGTAAGGAACGTTAATAACTGAGCCAATAATATGTGTAACTAGAGAAATATAAAAAGAAAAGAAAAAGCAACGTATGGTTTTTATAGAATTTGAAAAAGAGCATGACATGGTGCTCAACTACCAATTCTATGGGCAGTTCTGAAAAAGAAAAATTCCTTAAGAATATATGTTATAATAGAGAATATTTATAAAGGACGAAAACTAGGGTTATGACTTAGAGCGACAAAATGATGTGGTAAAACAGACGAATTAAGTTTATACTTGTAATGCACCCCCCCCCCCCTAGAAATTGTTTTCCCCTATTTCTATTATATTTATATTACTACTACTATAGAAACCACTTAAGTGAGTATTATAATTTATTTATTTTTTCAACGGCCAGCATCTATAAAAATAATGTTAAATTTCTATGATCTAGCCAGAGTGCTGTGTGCATACCACATTTCAAATTTCAACTCTAATTTTTTTTTAAAAAAAGAACTACTTTTTCTTTAACTATTTAAAGGGTAAAAGAAAATTAATAAAACATACAAATCAATGTCATTTTTAACACATAACGTATTATTATATTTATGATTTTGTCTTCAGAATATGCGTATAACAAAAACCCCCAGACTATGATGATTTACATTTTTTTTTAAATTTTATAAAAAAATTAAAATTATTTCTTTTAACAGCATGATAGTCTAGATCAGATTATGGCTGCATGATAACAATGGTTCTTTCGATAGTCCACTGATGGAACAATGTTTAACTATCGCGGTTTGACCTAAGTATACTGTATTTATAAATAATACAAAAAAAAATAATAGTTTGTCAGGTAAATATAAAAGTATAATATAATTTTTTATACTTAATAAAAACGTATAAATTGTAGTCGCTATTTACTATAAATAGAGCTATAAAGTATTATAGAATCCTATTTTTGCTACCTCAAGACATACCTACTACTATCAGACAACACAAACTACCTCTACGAAGACGCTTGACCAAATTGAGGAAAATTCAATTTTAGATAGTGCTAACATTTAGCACCGAAGGGAAAAAAAAGCGTCAAATAGACACTTGAAATTTAAAGACGTCTTTTCAGCCATAGAATCCTCCTCAAACGAGAACACTTTAGAAACATTTGTAAATAGATTAATATTTAATGTAACTATATAAACGTGTACCATGCTCATACAAAATGTTAATTAAATACATAATTTAAATTAATTCTAAAATAAAACCATTGATAATATGTTGAAACATTTTAATTACATAAAATAAAAGAGATATTGTAATATTGAAGAAAGGCCTCTTTACTTTGGGGACATAGGCATTAGGCACGTGCCTATCTTTCCTAATGGGAAATATGGCCTTGGTTATACCTATGAATATTATAGTATTACATTTTTGAAAGGAAAATACCATTTTTATTATACCTAATCTTATATGATACAAATTAATAGTGTTTTCTCGTCGCCATGCAGAAAGTGATTGTATGTGACTCTGAGTTGTGTGGAGATAATTATTATTACCTTTTAGGTAATTGGTAAATATCTTCGGTGGCGCATTCGTAACATGCGTTAAATCCAATTTTAGTAAAATTAAGATTTGAATTGTTACGTTTTAGGTTGTTTTCTAATTTCAACACAGTTATAATCACATTTTTGCTAAAAATTACTTTTACTGGTTATGATCGCTCGCCAAAGTATGAAGATAGTATTAAAATTGCAAGCAAAATCAGACATAATAGTCTTAAAACTTTAAATATAATACATGTTTCTTTAGCAACTTCATGATAATTTGTTTATATATACTATAGATTAACGGGTAATCAGTTTCGAATAAATAGTTATTAAGTTATTTAAGTTTAAAATTTAGGAAAGGTGGAGTCATGGAGTGTAGTTATTTCTATCTGCGTGCATTGCCTACTCAAACGCACTTCACCTACCGTCTTAAACTTTAAACTATATATATTAACTAATAATAACTCTAAACTATTGGTTCAAAACTGGTTATTGACCAATCAAAATATTTAGCACATAGTTATTCTTAATTTAAATATTTAATAAAATACATACGTTACCATTAAGGTTTCAAAAGTTGATAAATCTAGGAAATACTACAAAAGATAAAACTTTGAATAATGATTAATGCAATATATAACATAAACAAAATTGCTTTAAAAAAAATAATAACTACACAATTGCTAATATTTTTAGAGTAAACTAGTGTATAACGTTAAAAGAATCGCCGGTATATTTATTTATTTTCTAATGTCGCTAATGGTTATTGAGTTTTCTTAATTTTTATAATTATTGATTAACGAGACATTATCTTAGCTTTTGATGTCGATCCGCTCGATCGTTTTGTTTGTTTCGTCAAAATAATTTTGACAAAATTAACTAGTACGTTTTTACAAAGAGCCGAATTACTGCTAAGGAGGCAAAAGCCTTTTTGGTTGTCTGAATACCTACCCTCATAATTTTTATTTACACAGTGCACACGCTTATGTTTCAATTATAGTATAGATATATTTTTATTATTATTGTTGTACTACATCAGTGACGTATTTACAATTTTCTTCTAGATCTTGCCCTCATGGCCGGACAAAAAAATGTGAACTATGTTTTTTCATTACCTAACCCATTTCTGGCCAATGGTGCGTACGCGCACCATAAAATAAATACATCCTTGGCCGGAAATGGGTTAATCATAAGTCATAACAACTTGTTAGTTTATTACAGTTTGTTTATTTTAACTTTTAGGTTTTTTTAAGTTTCAATTGGACAAAATTAATCTTATATCCATTTTTAAAAGTTTGATTACCGAGGAAAAGAAATATTTTCAGCCGGGTCTGCAACCACGAAAGAGCATTTTCATGTCTCGTTGAAGTACCGAATAAATTTAGAGTAGTGGTGGAATTATAGATAATGAAATAGTAATATTAACAAGCAGTGACTCCCCGTACTGCCTTCGTCACGACGATGAATTTCCATGCGACTTCCCCCATCTGCTATGGTGTCTTGCTATTTCCCAACTTCGTATTCTTTTCATCACCACCTTTCCTTCTATAATATCAATTCTTTTGGCATTTATTCCATTCTTAACTCCTCAGTCATTCCCATCATTAAAAATCTGTTTTCCTTTTCATTGATGAGTCCGGCCTTGCCTTATAATCGCTGTATATAATTAATTTTAAGTTGCTTGCCATTGTTTGTAAATGCCGTCTAGTTTGTATATATTAATTTTAAGCTACATAATTTAATTTAACATCCGTAATTGTAGAAATAAATAGTTTATGCTGATATTTCAATAAAATATAAAAAAACAGTAACAAGCTAGTATCTAAGGTGGCTAGTAAACATATCAAGTTTCTGGCTAATATTTTAGTGTTTTCATAATATCTGGCCTGAAACAATTTATAGAGAATTTGGCCCTTTAAACTATTCTGAATTTATTATTTAGTTCTAGTTTGATCGTTGTAAATACAACACATAATTTAAAATAACAGCGTAACGTTTTTTTGGTAACACTTTTTTCGGTTATGTGCCAGGGCTAAGACATGAAAATGTCAAAAGTGTGTTAGGTGAAAAAAATTAATAAAATTTAAGTTGCTTACTTTTGTAATAAAATATAATTATAATATTATTTAATAGGATTATTTATAATATACCTATTTTTAAAAATTAGGACTCTAACCCAGAGCCTCTGGGGGTGATATATCACCCTGTTCACCCCCTGTAAATAAGCCAATGTGCTAAATATGGAAACACACCCGTTAAAAAAGGACGTACTACCATACCACAGTCCACGCCAGTTTTGCATGGATTTTATTTGCTAGATTCATTTACATTATATATTATTGAAGTAATTTCAGAGCAAACGTGAAGAAGTAAAATCTAGCGTGCTTGTTCATGTCATGCATTTAATGTAATACTATATCTAAACGTTATGTATATTGATAACCAAAAGTGTGGCTAAACTTTTATACATGTTATAAGTTAATACTAATCTAATATAGAGCCTAGGATTTCAACTAGAGATGCTCCCGACTAAGAAAAATTCCAACCCCCCCTCCCAATCAAAAGGTCTCTAAATTCTAATGACAATATTACTGGACAATCCCTTGTTTAAAAATGGGAACAAACGACACTGGTTTGTGGGAAGTTAAGGGCCTACCAATGCCAAGGCTATCTGGGGACCTAGCTCCTATCTGGGCTAAAATCCAGACTATATTAATCCGTGTCAACGTGCACGTTTATGGCGATAGTGATAAGCGAACTAGCGGAAAACGAATAAGATTATGATAATATTGACAATTTAGTATTACACGTGCGCGCACGTAGGAAAAAAAAAGCGTCTCCTGCACGACATGTTTTTCGATTGTTAAACGATACGTCCACTTTGTTATTAACGTGTGTATATGTATATTGTATAATGGATTAGAAGGCGGCGGCGGCGGTTTGACTCAAAAGAATTAGAACCGAACGACTGGAATACGTTCTGCGCACACCGCGATCGGTCTTTCTTTTACCACGAAGAAACTAGAATGAAAAAAGAAAAAAGGTTTTCGGCGGCGTTCCATAATAGTATATCCGCGGTATTACTGCACACTACACACAAATAATAATAATATTATTATTATAAAAAAAAAAAAAGAAAATTAGAAAATCGTTCATCCGGATTTACCTGATAATATTATTATGGTCCATAGTATTATACACACACACACCTATCAAGAGACGGCGACACGACAACGACGATGGAGCACGGGTAAAAAATATTAGGTACACATTATGATAATATATACCTTATATAGTAAAATATAATATAATGTACGCGTGATGTCGCCGCCGTACCTGATGTTGGCCGTCGTAGTGCCCCACTAACGAGTTGGCGGCAAACCGTCTTTGATCTCACGCTCTAACTCCGCCCTGAAACGAGCAGCTCGAAGCCGGCATACACACACACACCCGGTGATCACGGCGGCGGGGTGGGGTGCGTGTGTATATTTTCTTTCCCTCCGGTGTCCGCATATATGTGTGTGAGGATACGCCGTGCCGCCGCACAGTGTCCGTATCCGCCGCAGCCGCCGCCGCGTATATTATCGCGTCGTTTGTTGTTGTCGCTATACTTATATTATCGCACCGGCGACGTACCCCTTTAATTCGTCCGTTACAGCAGTCCACGCGCCACCATGAGAAGAGTTTCCGGACCGTCCGCGTTGATCGTCGTTTGGCTAGTCGTTTTTGCCGCCGTCGTCCATTCGTCGTCGTCGTCCAGCGTTATGTACGAAATGGCCGATTTGGCGTTTACACGGCTGGTGGCGCACAACTGTTACGAGGCGTACGACCCAGAAAAATGCAACGAGCTGTCCGACATGTCGGCCAAGGACGTGCGGCTGTACTTCGGCGGCATGTTGCCCAACGACACAGTGGTGGCCGTACTGCCGGACGGCGACGCTCAGCTCACCGCTAAGCCGCGCGACGCGTTCCTAGTTCTCGACCCGTTTCCCGCGTACAAGTTCGGCCACCCTATGTTCATGTTCTACGTGGACACCGCCGTAGACGTGAGGAAATGCGAAGACACCGAAGGCATTTACTCGGGTAAATGATAACGATAATAACACATGGGACTTGGGTGTAACATTAGATACAAAACAGTTTCTACGAGCAGAGATGGGCATTGATACTAAAATGGCAATTATTTGACTATTCAAATATGTGGAATTGTAAAATATTCTTATTCGAATCGGAATATTCGAGCTTAAAACCCTAATAAATAGTATTAATAACGCCATAAACCATCAAGTAGGTACGTATAAAATTAAATCATTATACAACTTTGTGTATTTATAAATTACACTCAATATGACAATATTTATTGATAATCTGGAAAAATAGTCACTAATTGAGACTTAGTTTTTGTCATCTCTGCATATACGATCAATAAGTGATGAGTATTTATTTATCTAATAGTAAATATATGAAGTTATTTACACCAATCACATAATGTTATTATTTATATTTATTTACTTTGGGTTTGTTATTTGAAAACATTTTATATTCAACAACTCGATAATGTTAATGAGTTTTTAAATTTGAAGAGTAAAAAGTCGGTAGTCATACAAACTGACGGGTTCGTAGTTGGTAGGAATTATCTTGTTCGAAACCGATCTACACGCATTATTGTTAGTATTAGTTAAAGACTATTTGTTTTGACGTTTCTAATCGTGTACTCTTAATCGGGAGGTCTTTGGAGTACTTCGATATGATTAAAAATTGGTAGCCGCGTTACGCTTAAGTTGACAGCGTTTAAATAAATATATTGCAGTAATTTTGCGGGGCACAAAAAAAATATTAATAGATAAATCATTAAATTTAAAAAAAAAAAATCAAGGCCGGTTAGATAATTCGTGAAATCATATAGTCAAGAGTCATGGGAGGATATCGATGGGTTTGATTTTTGCAAACAGTTTTCGGTATTAGATATACAACATGGGTATGTTGTATGTGTTGTCGTGAGTCCAATATTACGTGTTAAATAAAAAAGTAGAATATATAATAATATTATAATGATGTATTAACGGTTGTAAATAAAAACGAACTAATCATTTATTTATAAATAATATACGTATTAATAATAATAATAATAATAATAGAAGAAAATTAATAAAAGAAACCCGTATAGTAATGGCCAGTGGGTATTAGAATAATGTATTTTTCCCACCGACTGTCAGTGATCGGCAAAGCTCAAAGAAACTGCGGCGGCGGGTCGGTGGGTGTGAGGCGCACGCTGGCGCGAGCGCGGGGGGTTAGCCACGAGCCAACAGGTTTTTGATGTGTGCCGCCGCCCAGGCCTTCGCCTTTGTGGACCAACGCCGACGCCGCCGCCGCCGCCACGCACAGGCTACGTCTCTGTTTTTACTCTGATCACTGTACTACGCCGACGACATATACTATAACCGCGCACCTGCTGCCGCCCCTTTAGCTCCTGCACCGATTGCCGCCGCCGTCCCTGCTCCTGATCCCGACCGCCTTCATTGATGGTACCCATTCGCTTCACTGTAATTTCCCTATCATTATCATCATCATCATTAACACCGTTCTAATTCTCCTCCCCCCCCCCTCTCTCTCTCTCTGATGCCATAAATACGTAGACTGCACTCGGCTCTTAAAATGCAGACAGATCGTGTCCAGCGAAGATTTATCTAAAATCATATTTTTTATTATAGTTTATAATCATACAGTTTTATCCTCGACTGTTCGTTCTCAATAAGCGTCGTTTGTATAATTTGCAAGCGGTTTTTTTTTTAAAAACGTTTAACATTTTACTGCGTGTAAGAATGATAATATCCTGAGAGTTAAATATTAATAGCTGGTAAACCAATACGTACTTCTCGGTAGATATAAATGTGCATATAACAATTATAACTCATAGAGACAGTGTAATGCGTTACGAAGAGCAAAACAAATTATAGTATTACTGTCATAATGTTTTAACTATTTAAAATTAGTTATTGTTCAGTCACCATTTTCAGTAGTTACTTTTAGTACAAATAAAAAATATAACCACCCGATTTACATATTAAAATTGTTTAATATTTACATATAGCAGAAATTATAACATTAAAACGATTTAATTCAGTCACAAACCTTAAGGTAATAGTAATACTGTAGAGTAGTTAAAAGTTAATAGTTTGTAAAAAACGAATAACATAATAAATATGTTTAGGTATAATTCATAAAAAGTATGACCAATTAACCCAATGGTATACAATTTAGATAATGTATTAATGTGAAGTAACAAATTGTTTTATTAAGAAATTCATTTTACCTATATTTTAATCTATAAGAATATTATCTAAGATTAAATTTATTGATTTTAAAATATACTAAAATTAATGCTTACTGAATACTGATTGCAGTAAACGTAAAATATACCTTCACGATCGTCTAGACATATAAATTACGTTTTAGTAGTTTGAATAATATACATACATTTATACCTATGTGAGTTTTTCTGTTTAGAATAGGTTAAACTTATCATAAACACGTCTCGTGGACGAATTTGAATTAAATTCGTATCGACCGAATAATTCGTTTTTTATTTGAGAATAAATAAAATGGTAATTTATTAGTGTTAGCTTGTATCGTTTTTTTTTTTGCAAGAGATTTATTGAATATGACAAATTTAACAATTCTAATTAAAACTTAGTGTTTTGGGTATACCTAACTTCCCTAAATTACCGCCATTGAATAGATGTAAACATTATAATTCATGACGTATTAAAAAGATAGCATAGATTATTATTAATATTGCATTTGAATAACATAATAAACATATTCAAATAAAATATATATTAATAAATCGATGGTAAATTTAAAAACTGTATGAAAAATGCTAGATATAACAGCTATTGTTATGCAATCATGTATGTGAAGCATGTTATATCACTGAAATACAAATTTAAAAAAACAGACTAGAGGTTGGTAATAATACGTCACCACGTAAGTAGTTATGCCGTGAATAACAAAGGTTTGTATTATGTAACTTTCACTCTATATATTTATCATATTAATAAAATTATTTTTGATACTACTATAAAAAGGCCTACTAAAACGTTTTTTTTTTAGTCAAAAAAGAAAAAAACAATATAAATTATTCTTTTTAGTTAAACAAATCAATTTAACGTTTTATATAAGGCATATTGTTTAAGTTGCTTTATTTTCAGAGTTCTAAGTAATTATTTTCTATTTGAATTTTCAGTAAAAATAATAGTAATGTAAATCACAAATTTTATCTGCAGTAAAATGTAGTCCAATATTGGTAAAGGAAAAGAGCAAGCACAGGCTGGGGCATACAAGGGATTGAACATATTGGGATCGGGGTGGTTACAGGTTTTCAGGAATTCTTTTTATAACTGAGAGCGATATAATCACTGTCGAATAAACGCTTCGATGCATTATAAAAGTAAAAATGTGTTGTTAATATTAGGGTTGTTACGCATAGAGTAGACCGTCTGTTTATAATAATTAGCTGTTGTTGTTTCCTATTTAACGTAAATAATAGCATAATGAAACGAGTTTTCATTGTACAGTATGTACATATTTTTGAAAAAATTATACATGTTAAAGCCCCATTCTAGATCTACCTCCAGTCTAACTATTAAAATCTTGAGTTCTAAATTTACGCTAAAAAATTGAGCACAGAAATATTCTTCACCTCTTGTGATGTGCTTGGATATTATTTTAGTTTGTCAAGGTATAGTAATATCCGTATACATTTGAAGATGATTCGACTATTTTTAGGTTTTAAATTGAATAATATGTAAACTTTTTCATTATTTTTCTCTATTTTGAATAGGAAGGGTTGAGTTTTTAAAATGTTTGGCCAATAAAGTACCTTTTAGTTACGATTCCTGAACTATAATTTATTGATACTTGAAGAAATTGGTTTAGCGTTCTAGAAGATATCGTTCATAAGATATGGTTCAGACACAAAAATAAAAATAAAAACACATTTTTATAAAAACAATACCTTCTCAGCTCCGCATCGAAGCTAAAGTATATATTTGAATCAAGTGTAATTATCGTTAATATAGGAACAAAATTAATTTACACTCGTAGTAGGAATAACTAAAAAATAGTTGTTCCATCTATGCATTTTATTGTATTCATTTATTAACTATATGTTTGTCCCGTATATTATTTTCACACTCATGATATGATCACAGAACAATAGAGTATTACCAACCATTTAAAAATTAATATTAGTGAGATTGAGTTGGGTAAATGTGTTAGTTTTTGTGATTTTATAATTATAACGGCGGGTTCTTTGTACAGTACCAATGCAATACTGTGGAATCTACACAAGTAACCAGCCGAGGAATGCCAGAGTTACATAGGTGTATAATCCTGATGACTGTTGTATATTATACGTTTTGAGGTCACGACAGAGAAAAGATGCGCCGAAATTCGGCTGATCATTTTTAATGAAAGTCAATTACCCGATGGTATACTGTCGCCGCGTCTAGAACGGCAATTACACGCCAACGTTATTTTCTTGTAACACAGGGCACCTTCCTCGACCTGTCGGCAAAATAAGGTTAAGAATTCATTTTTGCACCGGAACGTCGTTTCACGTAAAAGGTTTTTTTTTAAAACCGTTTATTGTGTCTTTTTTTATGTAAAATTGCATTATTTTCTTCGAATACACCTTTGCGATATTATTATAGCTTGTATCACCATACACCCTCCAAACTCGTCTAATACATCTGATGTACGTACACACGAACACACGTTATAATAAATGTCACGACGACGTACCCCTTGCCGCCCCGAGCGCGAACTTAGATTGAGCGTTTCTAATGCGTGCGACCAATACACATTGCGTATGCACAGTGGAAAAGAGATACAATACATATATATTATACATAGGTAGAAGGGAAAAAAATTGAGAATAAAAAAACCAGTTTGGTTACCCTTGAAATAATAATACAAAGGTGGGATGTAGTGTACTCTAATTGTTTAGTGTGTAATTCCTTTTGAACGGGCTGCGGTGCCGCTCGTTTGATGTTTGCCGCCGACAGAAGCTAGTTGGGTGGGTACGAGGCACAGATCTACCGGTGACGTCACGGAAATCACCTGCGCTTGCTTACGGTGTCACGCCGAATGAATACCGACTAGTAAATCCCACGCACTGCTTTTCACACCCTTTTCCTATAAATTGGTATATATTTATATCTATTTCGACCGCATTCTACGTGCGCTTTCCCCCAGAATTAATTTTTACCCCTAGGCCGGATATCAGCCCTAGCCCATGTAGCTCTAGTACACTGCGACTAGTCAATTCCAAAATTTGCACACTGAACACCTCCAAAGGCGAAAGTCATCCGCATTACAACATTGCATTAAAACGTACGATTACAGGTATAACCATAGACTATGTACTACTATGTAGTAATTATTTTTTTATAATCTTTCATTCCTAAAAAATAACTAGATCACATAACCAATGTAATATAAAAAAAACCTTATTTATTGAATTATACGATGAGTTCAATAATTATTATTTCCCATGAAATACCATAAATAATTGCATTCCCCACAACAATGTTAAAATAGTATTATCCCAGTAAAAATATGTAAAGTCAGGTTGAGTAATTGCCAATAAAATAATACGGAAATTTCTGTGGCAAAAACTACCAATTTTGTATAATGCATTAAATCGTGTAATCTTAAGACTTACAAGTAAAATCTAATAGTTCTTAACACTCAAAATTGTCGATAATATCTCATTTTAAATATCATATTTACGATTGCCTCACTTATATTTACAATTGTCCCACTTCATGTGGAACATTACGATTTGTATTACCGAAACTAGAAAGTTTCATCTTTCAATAATATTGTGTTATCATGATCCTTACTTACATAATATAAAAACGGTTCGCTTGGGTTATTGCGTCAGTCGGGATTATAAAGTACTATCAAATCGCTCAGTTGAAAGTTGGTACATGTATAAGAATTAAGGGTGGTCCTTATATTATACAATATACATGACTCCGGAGTGTTTGAAATTCGAATAATTCGATCGGCCTTACTTATACAATAAACATTCATGTTCAAATTAGAATGTTATAGTAAAATAATAATTATTGTTCTAGTGCTTAGTGACAATACGACAGTGTGCATGCAGATGGTACGTAGCCGGTGGTGCAACGAACGACCGATGACGTCGTCGTGGGACTGTCAGGTGAAATTTTTGCCACTAGTGGTGCCCACGCGCAGCGCCCGTCTCCAAGCCGACAATGTGCTTAGCTGTGTCGACCACAAGGACACGTTCCTGATGAACTGTCCTCGAATCCGAGACGATGGCGCCGAGCTGTCTGACGAATGCAACCACCTGAAAACCAACACCAGAGGCTGCGATACGGGCAACTTTAAATGTTCCACGCACAAACCTACCAACCAGGTACAATAGTTCTATAGAGTTAACCACATTTAACGGTACAACCGTTTTAATGACAAAACTATTCAGACAAAAACAACAAAATTATGTGAAAATCTAATTAAAATTGCATAAACTTAAACAATTTTGTGAAATTTTTTTTTCAAATATAAAAGGAGGTGGAAATCGTTTAGCGTTTTACACTCCAACTTGACCTATTTTTATGACATTACAAAAAGTTACAAAAACTAATTAGGTATTTTTACTCTTTAACTATATGACTACTATACAAATATTATATATTTTTTAAATATTTAATACATTTCTGCGAGGATAACTGTAACGAAGCCATTCATTTAACTTTGTCGCAGTTAAATCGACTTTGTAGTTCTTAGTAAATCACTAAAAAGGAAATGTTGATTGTCTAAACTAAAAATTCTACCACTGGCCCAAAGTTTAGATTATAATAAAACATTAAGGGTATCCACACTTCATGCAGATACATCAATACGTGGATATGTCCTGATAATTATATGATTATTTCCGATCAATAATCTCTTTGCGATATATGATAGTATAGTCTTAATTATATGTTCTGGCCAAACGTTTTTTAGTAGTTTTATAATATCTGGCCTAAATTTATCTACTGGCAACATTTATTTATATTTAACATTTCTCATAAATCAATTTCCGTGGTTCGTCAGTAAGGAAGTACCTACCTAACAAATTAATTTGGCTATCCCTATATATATCGTTATATCCTAATATATCATTACATCTTTATTTATCCTTATATCCTAATTAGGAGTACCTAATCGCTTATCTCTAATCTCTTATCTTTAATACCTTATCTCTAATCTATCATCTCTTATCTGATAATTATTTATTAGCTCTTTCGTTCAAAAAACAACCGCTGTATCGCCCCACACGCACATATTTTATACGGTAACGTTTAGAGTTATGCACGCACAGATTTTCTTATTGACCCCAGCTAAAAATCATATCCATGTCAATATGTATATTCCTATGTTATTTTGGTTGAGAGTAATTAAAGTTTAAATATTATTAAAACATAATAAATAAATTAAGCACTATAATATATTATGTTTTTAAATTACAATATTCAAATATAAATGATTATTAAGAGAATTGAACCGTTTATTTTAAGAACCCGCATGTTTAACGAGAAGGCGCTCCTCACTTTTTAAAGGATATGAATTAAACGGTTTAATTGGTCATAATTAGCGCGGTGTATGTAATGTATACCGTACCTATATTATGTTGTTATTACTTGGTCATGTACTTGCAAAACAAATTGCTATAACCTTTGATAATTAGTTCTAACTTCTAATCATGAGCATTTTTCGAGGCGAGATGAAGGGGGTATTTTAACGTGTTTAATTGTTTTGATCCAAGCAAGCTCTGATGTTATGGACTAATATTTAGTTATAATTAGGTCTAAACTTGATTGGGTTTTTTTAAATAGATAGTTATATAAACAAACAGCTGATCCCTGATCCCTCTTGTTTTATTGTTCGTGATATGGCGGTTAATGAAAATACACACGAATTACCCGGCGTTTCCCGAGTATTTATTTATCTCGAAAACTATACATTTTACTTTAATATCGATAGTTTCGATTACTTTTACATATCGAACCGTCCTACCCCGACTCCTAAAGGTGATATCTACTCCTACAGAATAAGTTTGTAGTTTGCAAGTCTCATGTGTACTAATTTTGATTGGAATTTTTCCAGGTTTTTTTTTTTTTATTTTGTACTCTGGAATCGGTTTTGAATATTGGTACGAGGCAGAGGTATTTGTGTAGTGATGCTATAAGGCAACGCTTCACCTAGAACATACAACAATAAACTCGTTTAATTAGATATTATTATAATTCATGTTTTGATTAATTCAATAATGTGCTGCTTCCGATTACAGTAAAATCATGATTGTTAAAACCTTTACTATTGTTTACTGAGTACTGTTAAAAATTGTATTAAGTATATTATTTTGTTCTGTGTAGGCTGTAATGTTGTTCGGAGGTTGGAACCGAAATACGGCCGACTTCGTTACTACATATGATTTAATGTCTCTAAAGGATCGGCTGGTCTCCTGGGGGTTCTCAGTTAACAATATTCGTACGTTTTTCGCAAACGGTTTAGGCATGGAAATTGATGATGGTGAGTTTGATAGGGTTTTGATATTTATATAACACCTAAATCCAAGCAAATTTCAAAATATTAACAGTTGTTTTGTTAAAAGACGGCACTGAATACTCAACGACCATGAGCAACGTCGAACCGGCTACTAAATTGAACATCCGGAGGTACATCAAAGGCATCTGTACAGCTCCAAGGTGTGCGGACACATTCTTTTTGTATTTGTCAAGTCCGACCAGAAGGGACGGAAACGCGTTACTCTGGGACGCCAACGGTAACGGAATTGTGAGTAGAAATATATTTTTTATTTATATCAATTTTTATTTTTTGCGAAAAGAATTTTTTTTTAATTTTACTCTTTTTTAAATTTCCTAGTCATCAATTTATTGAAACCCTAAAATGTTTGGAGTAAACTCCAAAATTGTTCATACTTTTGATACAAGTATTATTTAAAACTTGTTATCAGTCCTCTTTTGTAAGAGAATTTTACTCTTTAAAATGGCTACTTGGATTTGTTTTTAATTTAAAAAAAAGCTTATGAAATCACTTATAAGTTATATAGCCAATAATGAGCTTGAAACTGTTGTTTTTAGTATTTATATACAAGGTGATTTTTTTATCATGGGCCACTCAATCTTACTGGATTTTATAAACTATTAAATTTTTTTTTTTCATAGTTTTTTTTATATAATGTGATCTCAGTTTTCCACACATAATAGTTTCTACCCCCTTCCCAAACTAGTTTTTTGATAGTAACTTTTGAAACTTAAATGGTAACGTATATATTTTTTAAACTTTTTAAATTAGGAATATTTCACTAAAAAGTTTGACTGGTTGATAACCAGTTTTGGACAACTATTTTTATAGTTATGAGAGTTTAAAAGTTAGGATTGGAGGAGAAGTGTGGTTGAGAAATGCGCGTATATAAAAACACCAGTCAAAATTTTTAGTAGAATATTCTTAATTTAAAAAGTTTAAAAAAAATATACGTTACCATTTAAGTTTCAAAAGTTGCTATAAAAAAACTAGTTTGGGAGGGGGGTAGAAACTAGAAACATAATGAAAAATTTAAATCACATTATATAAAAACTCTATGGAAAAAAATAAATCAACTTTTAATTAAACTCAGTGAGATATTGAGTGTCCCATTATAGAAATCACCCTGTCTATAATAATTTGTTGCCGTCATTTCCCATACATATATCGAAATTAACAACATCAAACATAGAACTATTTTTCGGATAGCCGTTGATTTCTTTATTCATTCTCACATAACAATCTAGTTTAATAATTAAATTAAAGATAATATTTTTGTAGGCTTTCTAACTACTTATTTAGCAAAAATAATTTTCGAATAAAAATTAGACTACTTACTTTTTTTAAAAGTAATTGACTGGAAGGAACATGGCGGACAGTGCCGGTCGGATACCCTATATAGCTCTAATAATATTTTTAGAATATTTTTCCTAATGAAAAACTCAAAAACAAAAATAGCCTAATATAAAAATTAAATTAGTATAAGTGAGATAAACATACTCACTTTTTGTAGGCTGTGTGAATAAATGCTTATCCCAAACAATTATAAAACCAATAAAATAATAATAAAACATCTAATAAAATGATCTAACGGTTAGGTTAGAGTCTAACTTAATCACATACAATGCTCTTACAAGTGTTTTATATTGAAAAAAAGCTGTATTTTCAGAATATTAATAGTATGTTGACTTTTGTTTCTTTAATCGAGTCACTTTCGTTTTCAGGTGGAAAGCGACGAAATATACTTAGCCAAAGAGTTCTTGCACGATATATCACACTGTACTGCTCGTCGTGTAGTCGTGTTCGTCGACCAAAGCTATAGTGGCATGTTACCACTTCATGCTCAGTTCTCTAGAAGACGTATCGAGAACGTGATGATCATACCGACCACGAGGATGGACGACTGGACGCCCAGGCATAGTTTCAACGCTTATATGAGAGAGGCCAGTCGAATGGCGTGCCTGTCAGAGTACATTAAGGTGAGATGGTATTATTATATAGGTTCAATGGTGGTTGTGTTATAGTGTGAACACAATGTTTCGGAACGTTTAAGTGTTTGTCGGTAAAAAATTTAGGAAAAATACAACTCAGACAATGCCAGAGGGGTGAACACAAATTAAAAATAAATCAATAGCGCGTAGATACCCGTCCTAAAAGAATCAAGGACGTCCGGATTTTTACACCGGCAATTATTTAAGTAATTATGTTCATCACACGACTCTCAATTTTTTAGGCCATGGTATTATTATCGTTTAATTACACATTTTTCTATATACCTATAATTAATTTGTATAGTATTGTACAATCGCATTTTCCTTTATATTTACAGTTACATTGTGATTTGTGTATAATCTATGATGTTACTTATAATATATAGGTTCTACGGTACCCATAAATAATTATAATAATAAATATTGCGTGAGCCAATTTGTTTGCATAATAAAGTCCAAAATAATCAGTTAATATAATATACAATATGTCTTCAGGTCACAATATTATATTATATTTGGATAAAACTAGCATAATACATTGACCGACGCGTTTCGAAGGAGCTGCGAAAATTAAAAAAAATCAAATCTGCACAATTCCCCGCTATTTCCGTTTAATATTATTATTTTCAAAATTATAACTTTAACGAGTTACGCACTATCTAAAACGAACGAGTTGCAAAATAATTTATTACACTCTTACATTATAAATTGTATGCGATTTTTTAAAAATATTTTACTTTTACCGTATTATTTAAATATTGCTTGTATAATTTTTGAAAATGTATACGTGTGTCTGTGCCTAAAGATTTATCCGTTTCGAAACTTAGTCGAGCTAAATTACAAAATCCCCTACCTGTATAATCGCTGGACTAGTCAACAATCTGTACGCGTTAAACCCACAAAGTCGAATTTAATTGTTAGTAAAATATGTTGTAATATGTGTTATGTTATTTGATATAATATATATTTCTTTACCGCATTGTTTGAAAGTATGCAAACGACCGGTTCTCCGAATATAGGTATAATTTGCATACACGTGCAGCAAGTTCATATGTATACATGTCCAAAGCGATATTGGCTCTTGGGTGGTTTTGATAAAAAAAATGTTAGCTAACCTGGTCGTGGTGTCCCTTTGATGTTTCCCCGTGGGTAATGCGGGACTTATGTTGTATGCTGGTTGTACATATTCTGTATATATTATATATTATACATATTCTGTATATATTTATATATGCGTGTGTGTGTGTGTGTGTAGTCGGCGCAATATCTGCAAATCTTTAACGTTTGCTTGCGAAAATCGAGATCTGGGAAAGAACACATGCTGCGTCGACTAAAAATCGTCAACAAATTAAGTGCAGGGGGGCTGTATGCATTGGGATTATTTTTTTGTAAATAAATACACGCGCATTTTTAATAATATAGAAACGAACAAATTTCATTGTAAGTAGTAATCCTTTTCACAAAAATAACGCAGGTTTAAATCTTGCTTGTTAGGTTATACCTACTAATTAGCAGGATTAAACAAATATTTAAAAAAACAGTTCATTCTATTAATATACATAAAATAAAAATATTGACTTATGATCTGTTATTACAAGTTGCTGACATACCTGTTCTTTTTTTCGTATTGGGCATGACTGCATTTTTAAAACTCTTTAAATAAGTAAAGTAATTTATAATTACATTTTTTTTTAATTTATAAATAATAATGTTGTTTAATTATACCAAAGAATTATTAATTATTTTTTTAGTTCGATAAAAATCCAAAATTCGATTACATATTGAAAATAAGAATTAGTAATATATTTAAATGAAAACACAACCTTACCTAACCGGCTTAAAAACCCTAAGGGATTCCGTATTATAAATTAAAATTTATCATTTATTATTGTTTTATTTATTATTTAAATGCTTTACTTTTTTAGCCGTTTCAAGAATCTCAAATAATGCCGCCAGTATTTACCGGAATTTTCATGGAGCAAGAGATGAGAAACATCACAATATCAGGCGTCAGACCTTGCGTTCAGCGATGATGCATTTTTAATACATTAGTCATTATAAACAGATGGTATTCTTTTGTACTACTATTATTATTATTTCATGGCTATACGTGAAGTATTAAAACTACAAATATGTTGTTCTTCTTATTAATTTATTTTTTCCAATTTTTATTATATATTATATAAACGGCCAAAAAAATCGCCTAGGGCGTGGATCTTCATGATATAGTCTAACATATCGATCTATATGATAATAATATGTTATTATGAAAATCGTGTTAAATTTTGTCCACTATTTAGTTGTATACATTTTTTTTTTATATATTATTATTATAATGTTATATTATTTAATTTAATTATACGACTTTTATTTATATAGATTATAGGTACATACTATATATATGTTTATATTTTATTTTTCAACTTTTTTTAAAAATCGATTATGAGCTATGATAAAATACAAAAAGGAACCTGTGCATAGGGACGAACGTAAATTCCTAAACAAGACTTAACAGATAAAATAATAAAAAATATAAGCGATATAAACCCACGAACAATACTAAACTTACCTAAAATTCAATAGATATAATATTGTAGAAACACATACGGCGTACCTACACAATATTAATTTTATTAAACCAAACTAAAGTTTTTAAAAGTCATAAATTACAGTATATTATACCTAAATAACTAAACTTATCTTATATCATTTTTAACACTATGCAGGAACTAATGTATGCATATTTGTACCTTCTAGACTCGTGTAGGAACTTACCATGTCCCGTGCATAGTGCGTACTGATGAACTGTAAGAGTATGTTGTTCCAGATGTAACGTGTCTGTTTGAACAACGACCTAAGTGCAAATTTTTTGCAAATGGGTTTATCACAGTTCTGGAATCAGAACAATGCATTTATTAGGTCAATATATAAGATTGCGAAGAACCAATTAATTTGTCAGAATTATCCTGGTTTTATTTTGTACGTTAACAATTGTTAAAAAATTAATCTTTTTAATTCACTCTTTTGTAAAATGTGACTTTTTGTAGTTAGGTTCGTTCTTTAAAAGTCGCGATGTGCGTTAACTTTTATAAAATCTTAACTTTAATCAACTATTTAGAATTATTCCAATTTTCCAAATTAAAAATATTAATACAACTAGCGATGGGAAAAATATATAAAAAATGATGTGAGAGTCGAAGCAGTAAACTAAATAACAAGAAGTAATCTAAACTAAATATATGTTATAATAGGGAAACGGTTCTTGCCAAACTAATAATATGTGTAAGGGGGTTTATAAATTATTATTTGATTACATCAATTTTGTTAAACTCATAAATCATAATTAAAAATTTAATTTTAAAACTCATAAAAAGTTATTAATATATTTATACATTTTTATGAATAAGCTAAAAAGAACTATTCAAGTTATAGTATCTAGTAGGAATGAGATCTCTATAACCCCATCTAAATTTTTAAATCAGTACCAAAAAAATGGTTCTACTATTTTTAAATCTTGAAAAATGCTAAAACATTCTTCTTCTCCTTCACCTTCACACAAACTGTTTAGGGTCGGCTACATTTGCCCTAATCTTCCACTCGACACGATCTCCCTCATCATCTTCTTCGCATACACCAGCAGTCCTTTGTCCTCATATAATTCTCAAGTGCAGAAGTAACTTCCGATTCCTCTCTTCTCACAGCATGCTCAAACAACTTCAGTCCATTTTATCTCATTTTGCCTGCTATCGAAACAAAACCTATACATATATACTTTTTTTCTCTCGTCATTCTAATCATCCATCAAAGCATTCTTATCTCTGCTGCACTTATTCTCTGTTCTATTTCCCTGCAGTCTAATTTGTCTACAGTCTAACACTCCGAACCATGCAACATGGTCGGTCTCACTACACTCTTGTACAACTTACCTTTAGGTCTCATTGGAATTCTCTTGACACATTAAACACTTGACGCTGCTTTCCACTTGATCTAACTTTACTTAAAAACCAAATGTTAGTCGTGTAGTAATAAAAATCGTTTAACAAACAACTCGCATGCCACTTGTCCGTAACACGTTAGGGTATTATAAAGGAATCGAAGATTTTTTTTGCTGAATACAGTTTTTTGCGTACCAAACGAATATTTTACGCGGTATCTCTACCTGATCTACGTACAAAATATATTATAATATAACTGTTGGACGTCACGAAGCGAAATAAAAAAAACAAAGCGCGTCCAATTGAGCAAAAGACCCATTATTAATAGTATTTGATTAATGTTTAATGCACTCGATCGAACCCATTCTTTGGTCAATATGTGTATGCTATATATATATATATATATATATATATTTATGTTACACCGGTATAATATTTTTGTGCCCTATTTGAATAATTATTTCAAAGTGGGGAGAATGCTGTTGTTTTGTGGTGTAGTTACGTGCACGCGTTGTGGGTTTCGGATGAAAATGCTCGCTCCGTCAGAACACTGTTCTGCGCAGACTGGTGCTGAGACGTTTGTTTCAGAATTATATAATAAAATAATAATAACTCTACACCGCTATTTTATGCAAACACAAGTCGTGCGATATCTAATTCAGCTGCCGTGCGCGTTTTTAAAAATTGTTTTCACCTTTTTGTCGAGGTCCGGCAAACATGAGGTGTCTACCGATCGCAGCGTTGTTACTGCCCCTGGTGTTCGGTGTCGGATCGGCCACTGTGTATGTCGAAGGTATAGTAATGTAATATAAATCAGGAAAATAAATAGCATAATGGAATATACTTCCTCAAATTGGATTCCTCGATGGATTTTGCTCAATTTTTTTTTTCGTTTGTTTCCTCTGACCCCAAGACGCGCTGTTTTGGAAGGCTTACGGTAAATCTGAACTCCGAGAAGCTCTCGGCGTTGGTGGAGGCGCCGGAGAAAACGCCAAGTTCGCCAAAAACGTTGTGATTTTCATCGGTGACGGAATGGGTCCGAATACAGTAACGGCCACCAGGATCTACAAGCACGGCGAGAGAGGTCAGTTGACATTCGAGAAGTTTCCACACGTGGGACTGCTCAAAGTAAGTGTGTGTCGTATGTATTCAGCTCATATTTAAACGTTCCATTACCTCGTTGAACCAAAATCATAAGTAAAAATATACTAAGTAGAAGGTAACGAACTAAATAAATGATAATAATCATAAGTGTAAAATGGAATTTACCTGAGAGATCTAGGTTTTCTCAATAATATTACAAGACAAAGTTCTCGGGAATACACAAATTGGTTGATTCATTTTAAGGGTGCTTTGGCCTTTGGCTACTATTTTTAATGTATACATTTTTTCTACGAGTAAAAGCTATTTTGGTGGTAAAAAATGCTTTCACTGTGACAAAATTGTGAGAATTTGTCTGGTTCAATTTCAATTCTGTAAAAAGATAAAGACTTTGTTGGCCTCTTTACTGGATTAAATTGAAAACCATTCGTCTAAAAAAATGCGGTTAAAAAAATAATACTGTCACATTTTTAGATACTGCATAGTTGGATGATTTTTTAAAATTAAGCATGAGAAATCAAGACTGCCTCATTTCGATTTAAGGCGTTTTTACATATTAGTTCTTAACCGGATGACACCTGTGAAAAATAATAAAATGCCACATTTTGTGTTGTATCATTAAAATTATTTAACGAGAAAAACAAAACTGTCATATATCTTATTATAGCGTATAAAATATTTGGTTTAAAATGGTAAACTGCCACAAAAACCAAATGTGGGAGTTTACTTTTTTGAGAATCTTTTTCTAAATCGCCATAACCTCAATTACTGGTATCTGGTTGAGATTTAACTAAGTAGCTTAAAACTAAAATAACAAGCATTAAAACTAATCATTTGGGAGCAGTTTCAATCTTAAAATTTATTTTCCTCAAAACTATGTTTTTTGAGTCATGGCAATCTTGCACCAAGGGTGAAATATGTTATTGTACAATGTTATAAAATTACCAAATATTTACATTTTTTAGTATTTTCCAGAGCGTTATTAACGTTTGAAACTTAAATGGGAACGTATACATTCAATTAACATTTTGAAAGTAGAATAATTTGCTGAAAATGTCGACTTGTCGATTACCAGTTTTGGATAATTACTTTTGAAGTTTAGGACGGGAGCAGTATAGAGTTATAAAATACACACGTTCCCATTTAAGTTTCAAAAGTTCATAGCTCTCTGGAATACTAAAAAAGGTAAATTTTCGTGACCTCGAAAAAACCCTGATTTTTCACGGATGGTCAGATTTGGTAATTTTATAATATTGTACAATAATATGAATAAAAATGTTTTCAAAAAGAAACAATAATAATAATTATCATCCCGTATGTAGTACTTGGCATGTTGTTATACCATTTGTTATCTCAAACAATCATCTTAAAAATGTCAAGTGTAAAAACGCAGCGAGCAGACTATAATGTACGTACGTAATTTTTTTTTGACGAGGTCAGGGATATTCTTATAGAGGAATGATTTTTTTCTTAGGAGACATTTTCCGAACAAAACGATACGCTCCAAGAAACATTTACACAAACAATATATTATGCTATGTATTCTAAAATATTTTGCCAAATGTAGGTATGTATTGTAATTTGTTACGATCAAAAGAGATGATAAGGGGTTCAAGGTTAAAATAAATATTGACTAATGAATAAAAGAAAAATGAATTGTCAGTTATATTAAGTCTTTTACCTTAAGGTAAATGATCTGTTGCATAATAATTGTTTAACGTACTCAAGTTTAAAGAGAATACGGTTTTTTTATTTGAGAAGGTTTAAAAAAAACAATAAAAAATAACAAGTACCCACGACATATATATTACATATACATGTTTTATTTTATCTCGTCAGACATCTTCATGCAAGTACAATAGCCACAACATGCAATTTAACCATACAATTTTTACATTATTCGTTTCATATGGGCAGATATAACATTTAATGTAAATTTTATACTAATTATTATTCGAGCAATAAATTATTACAATCGACAATGTGCGTCGGGTTGAATAAGCGTAGGTACATTATTTCTCTACGTACACGTCTAGATAAAAAATATCACTAAAACGACGCCTAATTTAATGATCTGCTGTTTACATACTCTTTTCAACCCTATACAGGGTGATCAACTTATCGTGAACCACTCAATATCTCATTGGGTTTAATTAATAATTTAATTTTTCTTTCCATAATGTTTTTATACAATGTGATCTCAATTTCTCAGTTCTCACACGAGTTTAAAAGTTACGATGGGGAGGGGAAGTGCGATTTGGAAATGTGCGCAGATAAAAATAATACTAAACTTCCACCTTTTCTCCTGCCCTGAACTTGAACTTCAAATAACTTCAAAGATATTTATCCAAAAATGGTTGTAAGTCAACATTTTTAGTACATTATTTTCAATTTAAAAAGTTAATGAAATGCATGCGTTACCATTTAAGTTTCAAAAGTTGCTTTAAAAAAAACTAAGTTGGGAGGGTGGTAAAACAAAAAAATAGTGAAAAACTGAGATCCCATTGCACAAAAACACTTTGTAAAGAAAAAACTTAATTTCTTATTAAACTCAGTAAGATATTGAGTAGTTCACTATAAGTTGATCACTGTAGATCAGCGGTCCCCACTACCCGGGCCTTTAAAAAATTTTGTGCGACTCACAATAAAACTAAATTGTACATTCTCAAACCGGACTTAGAGAAGAAAATAAAAGAGACAAAGAGGTACCGTCCCTCAACATCAAAACAAAAAAAATGATCGACATCAATTTAATATTTAAATAAGTAAAATATGCTATTGTGATTTGTATTAATTATGTATTACAATCTATAGTATAGATAGTAACAATTCCAAGGTTGTAATTCATAAAAGATACGTCAACGCCTGATTATACATCATAGTGTAGCACGCATTTTCTACTACTAGAATAGAGTCAAGTGAAAATACCCACTGGTCTGATTTATTTAAAATCGATTATATAATTATATAAGATTCGGTTCTATTCTAGACCAGTTAAACTAAATGATAATAGTGTTTTTAAATGTGAAAGTTTAATGTATTCAGTATTATACAATTCAAGTCATAGGCGGAACTAAGTCACTATTTTAAGAGGTGCTAAATATTTCGTTGGCCGAAGTGAAAAACTATTTAACCTATTTAAATATAGTAGTAGTAAGTTTAACCCTTCACTGCATAATGTTCCATATATGGAACAATTGTATTTATTGTTTATATCTGCTCATGCTATACATCTTTGTATGCACAATGTTTCAAATTCTTTAATTAGCGTTTTCCATGAAACCAAAACTCAAACAAAATTTATTTTAATTTTTTTAAGTAGTATTAAGTACATTTATAGCATATGGTTAAAAAAAAATAAGGCAGTGAAGGGTTAAGACTATTGATGTAGTATTAGTTTTTTTTATTTGAGTACCTACTTCGACAAATATACTAGGATTATAACTTTTGTGTTCCATTTAGCGTTTTTGTCAATTCTTCTCGGTGTTATCGTTCATACTCAATAAAACAATTTTTTTGTGAAATATTTATTGATTAGGCTTACAATTAAACATTATCATTTACATTTTTCGCATTTAATATTCTTAAACAAGTAAAAATTTCAGTTTTTAAGTGTAAAGTAAAACAATCTTTATAAAAAATACAAATTTAATACTGTTCTATGTATCAGGGGTTCGGAACTAATTCCGGAACATAAAAGAGAAATGAGTCAAATAGGAACGAATTCCGAACCCCTGCTTTGTATAGTGTTTTCACGTAGTGTATCATAAAGTTCTGTTGAGTTTTAAATAAGACTAAGAATTTCCTATATATACGGAATAGTATTTTTTGTTTGTTTTACATCTCCAATAACAAACAAATATTGTATCCTGTTTAATAATAGACATATCAAAAAAGTAACACTTTTTAAATCGAGAGAAAAATTAAACCGGGAAAAATTGTGTCCAATTGATATGAAACGTGTGGTTATAAAGGCTACCGGTCGACTAATATGTGGCTAAAATAAGTATATCATAAAACATAATTTCGGGGAAAAATTCAAATAAAATAATGTTATTAAATTATTGTTAATATTTTGTTTTTTAATTGATTAAAATAGGTATTTTTTTTTTCATATGACGTAATGTCTGGGAATAGGCATAGTTCGGACGACTGCTTGGCAGAATGGCTGCTGATCTGGGGGGGGGGGGGGTGACGGCCTCTTTTCCTAGACAGTTGCCTGTCCAAGAGAGATGCCGCCCGTGGCTGGGTTCGAACCAGCGACGGTGCGCGCATCGGAACCACCGCCTTAGTCCACTCGGCCACTCCGTCCCACAAAATATGTATTGGTATACATTTATGGATAGGATTATTTTTTCAATTTTAAGTTAATTAATAATTTATTCGTGCATTTTTGTGGATTTTAACATTTTTATAACTAATTAAGAAATAATTTAAAATATACATTTTACTCAAAAACTACGACGTCTTCTTGTAATAAAATAAAATATGTTGTTATAGACGGTGTATTTGAAATTATATTACAAGTTTATTTACGTTGTGTAGTATGGCTCTAAATTTTTAAATTTGTTATACGGGTTTTTTCATTTCCAAAATTTAAAATTTTTGTCAGTACTAATTAAACAATTACCTAACATTAAATTAATGTACCACACGTATACTAAGAGGCAGATCTAGGAATATAAAGAAGGGGTCTAGAAAAAAAATTCACCTCAAATACGTATCATAATATTATATTATAGAAAAATAAACATTAAAACACACATTTAATGCATACGGTTAAAGTACATGAAGGAGAGGCTTCAGCCTCCGTAACCCTTTCCCCCATTGTATCCGCTCCTGACTACACAATTACTGTGACGGCAATTGAAGCATAATGATATAATTAAAATAAAATCATGTGCCCGTCGTTTTGTATGAAAGATTTGAATCAAATGTAAAAGTTTAATTATTTTATGTTTTGGTAATTATTTGATAATTTTATAATGGATAATAATAGAAATCCTAATATTTTAAATATATAAAAAACCGATTCTAATTTTTAGGTCTTCAATAAACCTTTGTAATTACATTACAAAATTGACATTATGCCGATATTTTTCAATGTATTCCTTTTAAATGCTTTTTTTTTTTATTAAGATTGCATCAAGCCTCAATAGTCTGCATTAGTTAGCAACTTTAATATCTAATAACTGAATAACTCATGAAATAACCCAATTTTATGTTTTAAAATATATAATCGTGTCAATAATAGTATGTTTTTGTTCTCTCTCTCTCACACACGTTTAATATCCTTTATTTCCACCGATCGGAGCTTGGACGGCTTGGATTTGACAGTTTTGGGCTTATAGCTGGCTGCCGAGCTAACGCTACCAAACAAGTTGGCCCCAGAGAGAGGTGCAAGTGGCCATTTCTCCCCCAGACAGTTGCCCGTCCGGAAGAACAAACCGCTATAAACTTAGGTTTATTTTTTTTTTCAGACATACTCGGTGGATAAACAAGTATCGGATGCAGCAAGTGCGACTACAGCAATGTTTACGGGCGTCAAAATCAATCAAAAAGTCATTGGATTGGATGCAAACCATCACTTAAACGACATCGTTCATTGTGAAGAACCAACTAGAATTGGTCTTGAGACTTTAGCTACATGGGCTCAAGAAGCCGGAAAACATACAGGTATAACGATGTTGTTATACCTATTTTCGCTGTTCAATACTATTGTTAACACAGCAGTTAGCACTAATTGACTTTAGGTATATTTAGCACAAACTGAATTGTATGCTAAAATTATATTGTATACTAATTATTATAGTCTCGGGATTTTTTTTTTTGTAGTTATATTATTTTATTACTTTACCACAGTCACTATTAATACTTTTTTTTTATAAAATACAGCCCTTCGCTTTCTTACAACAACTTTATGGCATATTTACAACCTTTACTAAAAATACATTCTTAGCTTTTTTTTTTTTGTAAACAGGAGCTTAAACAATTTTAAATATTTTGTAAGTGAGTTAAACATTTTAGTCAATATATATGTTTAAAAAAAATTAAATATTGTTTTGGGTTGGTCTATTCTCGATAAAACCCGGTTTGTATCATTTAACACATGCCACATGAATCATTCGAAAATTTTATAATTGGTATTAGCTCTCATTATCCATCATAATATTTAATTTTAAAAACGTTATAGGTATTAAGTTTGGTACATTTTGACGAAACAGTTGAACATTTTTGAGTAGTATTGAATGAGAGGCCAAGACGCCTAGCTCGGTAATCTCCCACTAATTACTCTAATGTAAATTTCAGCATTTTATCGTAATCTGAGGCCAATGACAACATTATCTGTCATTTTATAAGTTTCTCCTAGACCTTTACCGCAATAATAAGAGCACGTAGGCATTTTAAGCAATTTTATCAAAACACGAGTCCATGATTCACGGTCCAACTTAAACTGTGAATTTCCATTAAACACTTCAACCGTGTGTCAATTTGGAGTTTATTGTACTTAAATAATTTGGGATTCATATAATTCATATCGTTTTAATCCCATTTTACAGCTGCCGTCAGCTATACAACTAATATTATTGTTTTTTTATGCAACTATTACTTTTTTCATATAATATAATATATATTATACAAAACGTAAATTAATATGCATGAATACATCTGCTAGCTACAGTCTACATTACTCTTCTATAATGTGCGCAATAATATTGCAAGTCAAGGCTTAGTCGCACTGCACTTGTATACCCGAGTTTATACAGTTTTATTTGCAAATTGATTAAGATAATTGTAAGAGTTACATGAATGCCTCGCGACCTCTATGCAAAATGGGAATAGACAACATTGCTACAAAATATATAACATAATACATGGCTGTAATTGTACCTACCTAGGTTTCGTGACCAATTCGAGGATAACAGACGCCACTCCGGCAGCTCTCTACGCCCAGACTTCAAACAGAAAATGGGAATGCAATGCGGCTGTGCCATCACACGCCGTGCATTGCAAGGACATCGCCAGGCAGCTGATCGAGGACGAGCCCGGCCGTAACTTTAAGGTTTGACGAAAGTGGTATATTATACGAGATCGCGGGATCCGAGTTCTTAACTGAAGACGATTAATTTACAGGTGATTATGGGAGGGGGAAGACAATCGTTCGTCGCAAACACAACTGCCACGCTGAAAGAAATAAACGACAAACGCGTTTGTAGGCGAACAGACGGTAAAAACCTTGTTGATGACTGGATTAAGGATAAATCGTCCAAGCACTCGTCCTACCGCTACTTGACTAATACCAACGACATTGTTTCTATGAACACAGAAACCACCGATTACGTACTAGGTAAAAACAATAATATAATGTTCAAATGTTTAATTAACCCCAAAATCCTACAACGCACCTTGAATCTATGTTAAAATATCTATGAATATCAGATTAATGAATTTTTACAAATGTATTACACTTAATTTACAAATGAAAACCATGTTATCTTTTTTAAAAATTGTTCTAAAATGGAATTTAGAAGTAAACGGCATTGTTACAAGTAACTTCAGCAGTCAGACCCTTTGTTCCGACATTTGTTAAGAAGCAAAAAATTAATCTAGAAAAAACTTAAGTAACACTTGTTGTTATACATAGTAAAGAAATAAAGTATTAAAATATTTAAAAATTCCATAAAAACATAACAATAATAGGTACGCGGATTTCAGTAGCAATTATCTGCGCTCGCCACACACCGAGACCATTTACGAGCAAACAACATCCCTCATTACTTCCGGTATGTCGCTGCTGAAAGTTGTAATCGGTCTCGTTTTTGAGCATAGGCGGAGATTTCATTAATTTTTTGGGGGGGGGGGGGGCTAGCATTTTTCTACCTAAAACGACCAGCAAGGGATTTACCCTCCTAAATTATTAATATATAATACTATACAACATTACAAATGTATAAATAAAAATCATAATAATTATAATATAATATTTGTATATTATTTAAGTAAATACATATTATTTTAAGGCAATGTACCTATTCTTAGATCCAAATATATCAATAATTTTTTCTACATCAATATTTAAATCGTTTTCAATGTATAATATGGATGAATTATTAAACCTGTCTTGCAACCATGTCAGGTAACCATGTCTTAATTTTGCGCATAGCTGAAAAGCTGCGTTCGCATGTAGCTGAACTAATTGGCAAAGACAAGGCGACTTGAAATAATTTGAATAAGCTGGGAAATACATTTAGGGTTAGAGCCTTTTGAATTTTATCAATATTTATTGCGTTTTTTGAAAAATGTATAACTTTATTTAGCACTTGAATTAAAATTAAATGATAACATTATCAAAAACATTGTTATAATGTTTTGCCGTTTTGGAACTAAAATAATTTTCATAATCTATTTTTATTAATAATTTTAGTTTTTACTCCATTATATAAGGAATTTATTACTTTGATAAGTGATCAAATAATTGGGGGGGGGGGCTATTGATAATTTTGGGGGTGCTAAGCCCCCCCCCCCAATCTCCGCCTATGTTTTTGAGCATTAGCGATGAACGAAGATGATATTACAACCGAATTACGCGTATGCCTACGTTAAAATGTATTACTATTTTATGTTAAGAGGAGTGGGACTTCATACACTTTAAAAACAAATTGTAAAACCGAAAACGTATTTATGGAAAAGCGTGTAGGTCAAAGCGAAATGGTCATTGGAAAAACATTTTGATGTCGTTAAAAAGAGAAGAACTTTAACTAGGTGTTCTCTCGTTATTTTACCTCAAATACAAGCACTTAAAAGGTAAAAAATGTCCTGATGCTTTTCGTTCGACTTTTATTAGGGTTATTTTCCCATGGATGGATGCCAATGGAGTATAGGAGAGATAAAAGTATACCGTCGTTGGAGAAAATGACCGAGACTGCGCTACAAATATTGTCAAAGAGTGAGAACGGCTTCTTTCTTATGGCAAGTTTTATTTAACTTAAAAATTTTTATAATTAGATAAAATTAGTTTTTAATCACTTCGATTCGACATAATTACTTACTTATTAACTTGTATTTAAATAGGTAAATTATATTATTAATAAGAAAATATTACTATTGTCTATTAGTTCATTTAGCTGAGTTGTACGTTACAAAATAAAAGCTATATATAATATGTATAAAAAATACTATAAGCTTTTTTTTCCTCTCGGAACTCAGTACACGTAGAGTTAATACTTAAATCAAACTTTAAAAGGCTGTCAAATAATTTATGATTTAATTATTGATTGGTATTTTACGTACCTACCATTAGTCAATGGTCCGGGGTCCCAACCTAATATTATGTTTGCAAGTGCCAAGTTTTTATTTATATAGTAATATTTATATTTATAAACATTATTAATAACAATTAATTTTATACCTAATAACACTTAATTTTGTGCTTTATGTTTAATTTAAAAAAAAAACCTATAGGAGTTTTTTTACTCAGATCTAAAACTAAGTATTAAATTTTATCGAGTACCTACACCATTTATAAATGTAGTATCTGATTTTAGGTAGAAGGTGGTTCAATAGACTTGGCACACCACAGAAGTATGGCGCGGTTAGCTCTCGATGAAACTTGGGAGCTTGATAAAGCTGTCAACAGAACAATACACTTGTTGAAACTATGGAACGTATTGGACGATACACTGTTGGTAGTAACTAGTGACCACGCCAGCACACTGTCCATAAACGGATACCCTGATCGTGGCAATTCCATACTCGGTGTAGCAGGCAAATCCCAAGTAGACTATGTTAAATATACAACGTTATTGTATGCTATTGGCTATTCTCCAAAGCAGATTTACACGAGGCAGGGAAAAGAAGTAATACGACAAGATCCAACTGTTTTTAACACATTAAGTACTGGGTTCACTCAACAAGTGGGAATTATGGAAGAAACTGGTATTCACGGAGGAAATGATGTGGCTGTATACACAAGAGGTAATACAATAATTATTGTACTATGTAGTATCATTGATTACATATTGTATATATTTATAGTATATAATATATTATAATCAATAGTAGCATGAACATTACTGTCTATTTCAGATCCTTAAATCTTAACCCTAATTACTTCAACGGGAATTTTTTTTGCATTTGATAACATGGAAAATTTTTATTTTTATTAAAACATTTGTTACTTAAAATTTAATCAACATTTTATTCAATTAAAGCTAATCTATGACACCTTAAAATCACTCTTTTGATATTTCGCGATAAAAATTGTTTTTATGAAGGTACAGCCCATTGAAAATCATAACTTGACAACTTGCTAAAAAAATGTTTATCATAAAAGAAAAATAAAGTATTAAGTAATAAGGATAGAAAATTTGATCAAAAGGGTTTTCAAGTGTCATGTTTTAGATTTTTTTAAATCATTTTTGAAAATTGTAAGTATTTGTTTAGTTTTAAAATTAGAACATTTTACTTAAGTTAATCAAGTGTAAAAAAAAACTCATGAGAAAGTATGTGAGGGATGGGCTAGAGATTTTAAATTTTAGGTATTTCTTACTTGAATAGGCTACTATCAATTAAAAGGATAAACCACAGGAAAATGGAAAAAAACCCAGCCTAATGTACATAATATTAAGTTTATCTTATAAACAAATACATGTTTGTACACATTTAAAATTAATTGTTTTTAATTTTAGGGCCCATGGGACACTTGTTTCATTCAACACATGAACAGAGCTATGTGGCTCACGCTGTAGCTTACGCAGCAAAAATGGGACCATATCAGAATGGTTTGAACAAAGCCACTTCAGTTATCTTTACTAAATGTTACCTTATGTTGACTTTTGTTGTAATTTGTATTTTTTTTAATTATTAAAGAAGTGTTTTTAAATATTCTAGAGCAACTTTATTGTCTAATTTTATTGTTTAAAATTTATTTTTATTTTGAGGTATAGAATATCTTATTTTCTAACATAAATATGTGTATGTAAAAAAAAAGGAAACCTACTACAAAAATTGCACTGGTAAACAAATATTTAGATGACAGATAATACAGTTTTGATAAACAAAATTTTTTTTATAGTATGCTAAAACACAAATATTGAGTTACTCAGGTTGTAACTATAATTTCCTGATGACTAGTTTAGTCCTTTGACTGCATAAACTTAATAAGGTCCACAACTCGGTTGGAGTATCCATATTCATTATCGTACCATGAAATGAGCTTGACGAATTGATCGTTTAATGGAATACCCGCTTTGGCATCAAAGATGGACGAGTTGGTGTCACCAATGAAGTCAGAAGATACAACTTCGTCCTCAGTGTAAGCCAAAATTCCTTTTAAGGGTCCATTAGCTGCCTCTTTGACTTTGTTCTTGATTTCTTGGTAGCTGGCGGGTTTTGAAAGTCTGACGGTCAAATCAACAACGGAAACATTGGCAACCGGGACACGGAAAGCCATTCCGGTTAATTTTCCATTTAAGGCAGGGATGACTTTTCCAACAGCTTTGGCGGCACCAGTAGCAGCGGGTATGATGTTTTGGGCAGCACCTCTTCCATCTCTCCACAACTATAAAAAAAAAAAAATTATAAAAATGTATTTAAAAAATAAAATTAAATTAAAAACTGTGTGATATTTTCAATCATTTTTTTTTTTTTTTAACAATATTATGACAACAGCTGTTATAATAAGATCAAAAATTATCTTTTAGTTATTTATATAATTAATCAATTTCCATTTACAATTTCTTTGATATAATCTACAAAATTAAAACCGATCAGTTGAATAAACAATTGTACAGCAATAGTAGTTTCTATTACCTTTCCAGACGGACCATCAACGGTCTTTTGAGTAGCAGTAGTGGCATGAACGGTAGTCATGAGACCTTCGACAATACCAAAGTTGTCATTGATGACCTTAGCCAAAGGAGCCAAGCAGTTGGTAGTACAAGACGCATTAGACACAACTTTGAAAGATGGATCATAAGCATCTAAGTTGACACCAACAACAAACATGGGTGCGTCAGCACTTGGTGCAGAGATGATGACTTTTTTTGCACCTCCTTCCAAATGAGCAGAGGCTTTTTCAATGGTCGTGAATACTCCGGTAGATTCAACAACATAATGTGCACCAGCAGAGGCCCATTGAATAGCTTTGGGGTCACGTTCGGAGAAAATCTTAATCTTGTCGCCTGATAAAAAGAAATAATTAACTTCCAAATACTTAAAAATGTATCACTGTTCTAAATTGTACACTAAACGATAGATCTAAATTAAAAATATTAAATCCATAATTGAGTTACCGTTGACAACTAAAAAGTCTCCATCGACAGTAACTTCGCCCTTGAAACGACCATGAGTAGAGTCGTATTTGAATAAGTATACCATATATTCAATACCAATGAACGGGTCATTGATAGCAACAACTTTAGCACCCTTTTCCAAGGAAGCCCTCAACACCAATCTGCCGATACGACCAAATCCATTGATACCAATGTTAGACATGTTTAAGTTTATATTTTACTGTAAAAAAAAAATGAAATCCTACTATTATCAAGACTAAAAATTGTAATTAAAAACCATCTATTGTAAGATAAGGACAAAATGTATTATGTAACATTATTAATTTCTTAATTAGGTACCTAAAAGTATTTTATCGTTAATTTTAAAATTTACAAATAAACCATTACTGTTAAAAATCATAGTAGTTAGTGTGCATTGAAGTGCATAATATGAAAAAGATATGTACTCGCAAGTCTACATATGCCCCCTCCTTGAATGCATATTAGTCACTACTAGTTTTATCGTTCATTAATCAACAAACTACCTATCCTATTTTGTATGTTAAATTAAAGGTACAAGGTCCAATGACTGGCCACAAAAGTTTACAATAAAGACGCCTTGTTTAACTAATGATTTTACATTTACACAAAAATTACTAAAAGTTTAAAAACTTATAGAAAATAATAGTTACATATTATAATAAACATTTTTTATTTATTTTATAATAAGTCTGCTTATATATAAGGAATGCTTATAAAGTTAAATTTATACACGTTTTTTACAAATTATTTATAACAAAATTTAAAAACACTGGTTTTTATTAAGCATTGGATAAGGTCATTAACTATGAATATTTAACCTTCAAGAACAGTGGATGATAACATAATTTATGTTGCTGTATTTTCAGTATACAGAAAAAAAAATACATTATGTTTCTATTAAGCTAATATATATCAATTTTTTGAAAATTTCCAGGATTTACCAATATTTCTATATTATTTTACTTTACTTTGGGCATTATCAATAAAAATAACAGCAGTTAGGTAGTTTTATGGGCAAAGTTTATGCTCTGGTCACTAATAGTATATTTGTAAATAATATTTGAATAACATTAAAAAAAAAGCTTTAACTTGGAAAGAAATAATAGGTATACTATAGGGGTTCAACTAATAGAACAATTTTGTAAAAATACAAAAATATTAAAAATATGTTCATTTATTTATATATATATATATATATATATATAAAGGATGCTGTGGTAGTCCGAACAATAATTTAACTACTAAAAAAAGAGTCCAACTACTGAACTCATAGTAACACATCACAGTTTAACCTTTAGTTAAGATTTTGTAAAAAATTGCTTGTTACTCCTTAAAAATGGGTGGTGTGGCGTCCTCTTAATAGGTAAATAATGGAGTACTGATAAAATTAGATAATGTCAATGGTTAGTCCAATATTTACGTTTTTAAAGAATAAACAAGTACCAACACCCATATGTTATGCCTACAATTAAGGTTATTTGCCAAAAATATTACATAATATATTTTAACTTAAAATTAAGCATTTAACACCTAGTCACGGATATAGCGCCCGTACGCCTATTGATGTTTAGCAAAATCGATTATTATAATATACTTGTATTTCTACAAAAGTTTAAAAATATCAAACATGGGTATTATTTGGTGCCGTATAAATTTAACCTTGCAGTATAATAAGATCAATTTCTAGCAATAAAAAATATAATATAACGAAACTACAAAATCACTCATCCATCTCGTACCTAGGTATGTACCTGAACAAATCTAAACTGAAAACGGGCGCGTCTCGCCATCGAATTTAACATGAAGGTCAACCAAGGTCAACAGTTAGTTCCACTCAACACTCAACTAAATTAATACGCTTTATTTTCGGTACGAGTTACTTCTGAAAAAATTCCTTTAAAATGTAATAAGCGAAAATGTATTAGAAGGGAAATACATTTAACGACTTCATATCGATCCGAAGGTCTCAGAAAGGCATCCATATTAAGACGTACAACCCGAAATCATTCATAACCTTATTAAAAACAAAATACACAACGCTATTGCAACGGTTCCCAGACAAGATAAGTGAGTATAATCAAAAATAAAACGGTTGATAAACATAATAATATTATTACAAAACGTTTGGCTTACCTTCGTAGAAAGTCTGTTGAAGCGTCTGTGGACGATAGATTTCTGATCAACGTATGCGTGGAAAATGAAGGGCAGTGAGCGGTGGCCGGCGAGCAAGCAAAAAGCGATTGCGCAAGTCGGCAACCGACGGCGATTGGCCAAACGGATCGATGCCGGTATGTCAAAATAGTGGCAAAGGTATGTTCAGTATTAAACGCGGACTGCTCTCATCGCAACTGAATCAAACGGGACATCTGTGACGTCATCGACGCTCCGGTTGTTGAATTTACCTATCAACAAGGTTCACCATCAGCTGTTTGCGCGTATCGACCGGCCGGCCTTCTGCAGTCTGCCATATTTTTTTAATAACTGGGAACAAACGCTAAAAAATCGGTGTACGAAAAAAATCATCCGAAAAAGAAGCACTAAATAATATTCGTTAAAATTACATCTCGACTAAGAATAATTGTAAATCTATGAAATATATCAGATTAATTATAATTGTTTGCTTTTTTGATATCGCTGTACGTATCTATATTACAATTATTTAAAATTTTAAAGGAAGTAATTTTTCTTTCTAGTGTTCTATACTTACCTACTCAGTAGGTACCTATTGAATACTAAAATTATATTTTATTAATTCAACAATCATCATACCTATTTAGCTCCAGGGGTTAAAACATGACAACATTTTTATCAACATCGATGTTTCGATGTATACATTTTTGAAGAGAATATATTTCTGTAGCTTGAAGCAAGAAGTCCAATGTCACTTTTTACAACTTTCGGAAAATGAGCTTTGAAGTTTTTATTTTCCATTAGGCTCTATGCTAATTTTTTTATCAAACTCATCATGAGTAATTCATTTTTTGGCCTCAGATTGTGATTTTTTCACAGTATATAAAGAATGATTCAATTTTTGCAATTAGCGGATTAACTCGTTTATGCACAAAATTGACATTGGCCCTTGCTCCAAGCCACAGATTTATGTAGAGAATTATCGATGTATAAAAAAATCGAGAATGTTTTACACTGATATGAATAATCATTACTCGCATGTTTTTTTTTAATGACCAAACTTCTTAGATTATTACCTATTTAATATTTATCTAAACTTTCGCTTAAAATATTTAAAAAATAAAAAATTTCTATTACTTAAAGACCGAACCCCAGGTAATTAAAGTGTCATTAAGTATTCAAAACGATTTTCCAGTATACAACATTTTGCAAGAAAATTATTTATAACAACCACGTGTATACTACGTGTAATAAGGTCATTCATAATTAGGAAGTATGTTAGTTGAAATAAATTCATTTAAATTATGTTAATTTTTTTTTTAAGTATCTTCACACTTCAGACTTGGGCTTAGACATTTTATTAAAGAAAAAATTTGTTTCCTAAAATGTATAAGTAATACTCATACATAATAGAAAACTAATGATGATTTGAAAATCCAAGTTCAATGCACCCCGTAAGTGATCTTCCTCATAAAATAAAAAATAAATACCAAAATGTCTATACCTCTTAGAGAAAATTGTATAGGTACGTTAAAAATGATATCCTAAATTAACAAAATTATCTGAAAATTAGTTGTCATGATCGAAATTTACAAACTAGTTTTTTTGACATATTTAATTATTTATATTTTGCTACTTAATGCTCATAAACAGCCATGACCATGAGAAGTCAATAACCAGTTTTGAATACACACTTTTTAGTTTTTGAGGTATTACAACTTTTATAATAATTCTAGTTATTTTTATCCGTGAAAATTACTTTAACCGTACTTCTATCTTCGCCTATTAAAATCTAGTTATTTTAATTTGATTTTATTATAATTTCTTATGGTTTTAACTAAATGAGTTATGTAGGTATGTCAAAAGTTGAAAATTTGACTTTTAAAAACTATCCTGTGACACTTTTGTTACTTATGTACTTATTACCGCCATAAACAATCCTTACATATTATATACACCGATACCCGTATTCCATTGATCTTTAATAAACCGATGGCGCTATCACCATTCACCGATCTTACATACGTTATGGGACGGAAACCTATTTCATTACATACCCCTTTGTAATTAACCGACAATATCGAAAGTGGGGACATTAAAACATTCGATCTGACCAATAGGAAAAAAGATATAGATCTTCGAAGCCTAAAAAAAGAATTAAAAATTACTTCAGAATCCCTACCTTCCACTTCTTCTTCACAACTCTGTTTTTTTTGTAGTCTAATCTTTACCAAGCACATAGTCGCTTGTTCGCAGCCGTCCGTTGAACATTATTATAATTTGTTTGTTAAGTTATTTAACTTCTTAAAGGAAAATAAATATCGTGGCACGCCGTCTTTCTTACAAGGTTTTATTATTTAAGTCTAAGTTATTGATAGGTATTTGTATTCAACTACTACACTCAAAACTGGCTGTGTGAATCGCTAAGGCTGAACGCAAGCCAAGGTTGTTTGGCGGAAGTAGTGTGTAAACAGTTCCCTTCCAGGTTAGTGGTTACTTGAAAAAAAAAAGCAAGCCAAGGTTGTATTGGGAGTGCATTTAATAATTATCTAATAGATAGCTTATATATTATGATCAAACGATTATGAGGCGCTGTCGCTATTACCTTAAAGAAAAAGGATAATATCTCGAAAAATACATGATATCTTATATACTATACAAGAAAGATTACTTCATCTAAATCGCGAACGATATTAGTACTTTCATCTCTTGATCTTCTCATCTACCATCATTCCAGGTTCTCTTTGATTTTCGAAACACATCCGAAGGAAAGTGGTATTTGTTCATATATATAAGTGCAATAGGAATAGAAACATAATTGTAGGATAGACCATCTCATATAAGAATCAACATCATTGAATCTAGTGAAGGACTGTTTATATAACTGAACAGTTTTTTTTGTAAATAAATATGTATGTTTAATTAATAATATATCAATGAGGTGTCTAAATAGATAGTAGTTACTCCATTTAGTTTAAAAATTAGATAAGTATAATTTTTTATTTGATGCATATTTAAACAACTTTTTTAGGAAAGCTTATAAAACATCATTATATTTCTAGTTTCGAGTATTAAATGGTCATTAAATAGTAGCATTGGTTCCAGACAGACAATGTATTTTTAGATTAATAGTACTGTAGTACTGGTGTCAGTATATTTAGAATATCAAAAGTAACCAGTGTTTGAAGCCCTAACAAATGTAAAAAAAAATAAATCTAAAAAAATATTTAAGAAAAAGGAGAAATCTAACTATTATGATCTCAATATATTACAACATCGACAAATATACTTTTTTTATAACTGGGACATCTTTTCCATACAAAAAATTAATAACTATACATACTAAAACACATATATCAATAATCAAACTATACAAAAATAAAATCAACATTATCTTTTACTTAATTGGAAAATTATATAAGTTGTACAATCATAACTAGAAAATAAATAAAATACAGACACAAGTATAATATATATTATTAAATATTAAATAATAAATGTATAGCTGCTATGCATATAATGTTTACAAAATTAAAGGCACCTGCTGTTGCTGTTCATAAATTCGTTTTGATAGATATTTCAAATATCTATTAATTTGATAATAACATAACAGTTGCATTCTTTATTAACATTAAAAACTAACGGTATGATGATTGGTATTACTAACAAAATAGTCGAAATGATACACCTTATTATAAAATCTAACACGTATTTTTATTTTGGATGGTAGCAAACAATTTTTAAATATTACTAATTATAGGTTAACAATGTGTTTGATAAGGCATACATATAGAATATATAAATAAAAACTAAAACATTTGTAATTCGTATTTGTAGTAGTGTTTAAAGAGTAAAATCGTTGATGGGGGCAGGTAATTATTATTATGTATAAAAAAAAAAACGAAGAAAATCAGAAATCTATATCCCAGCCTGTGTTATCATCCGGCGGTGGACAGTCTGCGTCTGGCGGGTAATTGTCAAAATTGCTGGTGTCTATAGCACTGCGCACCTTTGGCAAGATTGGTGGGGTGAGAGTTCGATTTCGAAGTCCTTCCCAGTTGAAGCCATCAAACCACCTACGAACAAATAAATAATAAATATAAACAGCCAAATTGATTTACAGTCATATAAAAATCACATGTCCGACGACTTACTTGTGTTTTTGTACTTCAGTGAGTCGTTCAGCTGGGTTATCTCTGAAATTGAAATAAAAACTTGTTTCAACGAATTTACACCACGTGTTTTTAACTATGTTTATTATTGTATTAGGTATTGAAAAGTGATGTTCAACTATGACAATTGAAAATACAAATGTGATGAGCAAAGCGAAAAGGGACCCTTTGTCGGTATTTTCCCAAATTGAGTGTTATTTAGTATTTAATCAATGTTGATTAATTTATTAACAATTTGAGAGCTGGTACATTTAACTAAGTTATTGAACTTTGAAACAAATAAAATATTTTGGTGTTTTTCTCGAGATCAACTTTGCTGGCAAGCAGTCTGTTTTCGTTTTCCACATCACACACACACACATATATATAAGACGAATATACCTGCACAATTTTTTAATTAAAACTCTAGCGTTTCTAGTAATGTTTCTTGGGAATTCGATAGCGTCTATTCCTTTTAATATAATATTATAAGTTTTCATAGGATCGGCTCCGGTAAATGGCGGTGTACCTGAATAATAGTCGAAAATATCAAATTATTAGTAACAGGTAAAATAAACAGTTGGCAAAACTCGGTATGTATTTTTGGTTTAAAGAAACCTTAAGGGTTCCGGTGTTTGTCATCTCTAAAAGTAAAAATTCATACAAAAAAAAAACACTGTATTGCATACCGGTAAGTAGTTCAAACATAAGTACTCCTAAAGACCAGTAATCGGCACTTATGTCATGACCCCTGTTAAGAATCACTTCCGGTGCTACGTACTCGGGTGTACCGCAAAAAGTCCAAGTCTTTCTCCCGTTCTAAGAATAAAAAATACATTGCGAAATGACTAGTTAGTAAAGTGCATAACTTGGTTGGTAACTTGTAAAAACGTATAGTACCTGAAGCTTTTTGGCGAAACCGAAATCTACCAGTTTCACATAACCGCTGATGTCTAAAAGAAGATTTTCTGGTTTCAGATCGCGGTAAATGATGTTGCGAGAATGCAAGTAATCGAACGCTTCGACCACACAACCGGTATAGAAACGCGTGGTGGAATCATCAAAATGTCCTTTGTCTCTGTAATTAGTCAAGGTAAATTAAATAGAATAATTGTATTTATTAACATGCCGACGTGGACACAAAAGTAATTTGCTCATATGTTATGGTCGTTTTAGACCTCTGCGGCCGAGTTAATCCTCTCGCCGCGGTCGCTTACCTCAATATGGTCCACAATTCTCCTCCAAGACACGATTCCATGAGCATGTACAAATACTTTTGATCTTTGAACGTCTTGTACAACTTGACAATAAAGTCACAATTAGCCTCACCCATAATTTCTTTTTCGGACATGATGTGCTGTTGTTGTCTCGTCTCGACGATCTAAGATAAATAAACATGTTATGTTAATTTATTTCCGTCTCTCTCTTCCCTTGCACGCACAAAAATAGACACCGGGGTGTCGTGACTCTCACCTGACTCTTTTTCATTTGTTTCAGAGCGAATGACCGAGTTGTGTCGTTGTTGACCTGGACGAGTTCCACTCGGCCAAAACCTCCAACGCCTAAAGTGGCCAACACTTGAAGGTCCGACAATTCGAGGTTTTCGAATTCTTTGTTTGTAGTGCTAATAACAAATATGATGTATTAATGTTGTGTTTTTTTAAATAATTAACAATAAATTTACTACTTAACAAATACATTTGAGCTATTCTACAAAAAAAAAACATAAAAATATAGTTTCCGGACAAATTTGTGAACGAAACATGCAACATGCAGAACATAAACTGTAACTTTAAATCTCTGTCTATCGTTATTTAAATATAAATTAACTACGTGTTTATTAACATTAAATACAATTTGTGAACAATTAATCTTACCGAAAAGAGCCTAGGACAAATGCATGAAATTGAGAAAATTAGAATATTAGAATACACTAACGAAAATGTTGAGGAAAAATTTACATTGGATCAGTGTATACACAGGTGGTATTTTCATTGAAACTTCAAACTTTTTTTAAGGGATTTTATTTTAGTCAGGACTATTATCATTAAATATTTTGGATATTGAGTTTAAAAGTACCTCATTCGTTCCAAAACGTCGTCATCCTTGTATCTGGTTCGAATCTCGTCTAGTCCGGATATCAACTGGTTAAATGTTTCCCGGTCGATGACCAAACAAGATACTCCTTCGGGGTCGCACGCTATTATGTTAGCCGTTCGCAAGTCCTCTCTGTAAAATTATGTTAAACGTTAAATATACATCAGTAAATAATAGATACAATAGAAATTTTATTTGCTAGCGTCATACATACCCTTGCAGAGCTTTCTCGCCAAAGAAGTCACCCTTTTGCAGGGTACGGATATATTTTTCTTCGATGCTGTTCGATTGTTTGATGGTAACTTTGACCTGTAAAAGAGCGAAATAATATAAGTGTCATCAACCGGGCGATGGAGGTAATAAATTAATGGGAGACGAGCATTAGTCACATACCTTTCCTTTGTTGATAATAAAGAAAGTGTCTCCTCGCGCTCCCTGTCTTATGATGTAGTCGCCGGCTTTGTAGAAAGTCTGTAACACGGTGATGTTAGAAAAATACAAAAATCCCATCGAATCGCACTCTTTGTCTTTTTACCTCTTCCAAAACGTCGGATATTTTTATGAGCGTCTCCTCGGGTAAGTCTTTGAATATGGGCACGCTCTTGAGGAAGTCCGTGTATTCGGTTTGCCTGATGAGACCGGTCCTCATCATGATCGTTTGGAAACATTGCCGCTCGATGGCCCATAGCTTGCAGTCGGTGGCGGCTAGAAACAGATATCGGAACCTCAGTAAACACAGTCGGGATGTACTACAGTCGTCACCGGCCAAAGGGAATACCACGTGTACAGTAGCTTTTTTAATGTCCACTAGCAACCAGTAGAAAAAAGCGCACATTAACGCGACCACAAGTCTGAACCGACTGTAAACGCGGGTCCACACGATTTGGCGCATGGTGCCGCTTTACGATTCGCCGTTAAAGGACTGGGGGACGAAAGTCTTTGTTGTTGTTGTAGTGAAGAACAAGGGAATGATAATAATTGATAATCGATAAAAAAAAATAAGGAAAACATATTAATTAGTCAAGCGTCTCAATAAAACGTCAATTGAAATTATTTAGCGACGTCAATCATATATACGATGCGTGTATGGAGAACAGCTATAGAATGCCATAAAACTCAATTGAAATACAACATCAATAATATCAAACGCGCACCAAAACAAGCAGGACGGTAGTTGGTTTATTTAAAAATTAAATTAAATAAAACCAACTAAGGACATTTTAAGGCACAGAGAATTTGAATTATGAAGCACACTTTTTGCACTTGTCGAATTAACCACACACATAAACCGTATACACCACACGGTTATATCACAAATGGGCTTTTGATAGAATTCTTAAACGTTTTCTTATTTAAGGGCTGAGAATCGACATAAAATGATATCCAACATTGATTATTGGCCGAAATTGACCATATCGATTTAAATTTTGTAGATTTTTTTCCAAACCCGATATTTCTCAAAAAAAGTGAATTATGATAATAACAATCACGTATCTCGCACATATCAGGGTAAATATAGGTATTATGTTATCAGTTGTTATGATAATAAATATATTATATTAATTAAATAGGATAATTCAAAATGCTTTAGTTAAGGTGAACAACTTTCATTCGTTATAATTTAACATCGAAGGGTAAATGCATTTAACTTAACAATTAGTATAATAATAGACATATTTTCTTCAAAACCTAGGACAGTTACTACGCAAAATATATGACACAATGTAAGTATAATTAAGTTGACGGACGACTTATATTTTTTTCTCGACCGTTAAATGAAAAATGGAAGAACTGTTGTTTTATTGTTGCAATGAAAAAAAAAATAACTGCCTACGAGTAATGTTTATTCAGACTGATGACGTTGCGATGATCGAGGAGTGTTTAATTCGAGTGGGCGGAACTGGAACGTAAGAGGAAAATATGTTAGGGCGCGGTGGTCAAAGGATTTAAACGACACTAATAACTACCAGAGACGTCTGTCAATCAAAATAATAGCGGTACACTGTTTTTTTTTTTTTGTTCCTCTCTTTGCTATACCGGACACGTAAGTATTTCTAATATCATTCAATGAACTATAGTCTACTAAACTAAAGTTTTAAATTACAACGTTCAAACGGATTATTAATTAACGGTTTATTAGAATAACGAATGAAAATGAATACGTTCTATAAACCCCGTCGCTATTATTATATTATATTTAAGTTATTGATTTTTAACATTCGGTCTGGTCGCCAAGTGTTCATTGATGAAAAATTATGTACTATAGTCTATAGACTCTATAGTGTAGAGTATATACACTAAAATAAATCACATACCTTTTATGGTTGCAGTGCGTTTACAGTTGTATAAAATGGCCAGTTCACCGAAAACTTTTCCCGGAGCCAAAGTGCTCAAGTACTTGTTTTCTCTGCTCACTTCTACTCGTCCCTCTGAAAATTACAAAAAACAAGTCCCATTATTTTAACGTTATATATATAGACATATACACGAGCCTAAGCGTTTAAATACTTAAAACATGTGATGCAACATTAAACTTGGACTCGTCTTTACATATCATAATGTATTATACACATATCACTAGTGTAATTAACAATATTTAAAAGTATAATATTAATATAACGTTCACTATAAACAAAAAAATACGCAATAAAACGTAACAAGGCTACTGCTGTCTGACCTCATTATTACGTATATTATTATTGTAATGGAAGTATAGAGTAATCAACGAAGATGTTATAAAAAATTTAAATATATATATATGTTTTACACGTAATAAGGTACAATTTGTTTTAGGTTCGAAACGTGTTTGTGTAAAGAAAAAAATAACAATAATAAAGAAAAAAGTGGAGCGCGATGCGGTCAGCTCACACACACACACACAGTTCGGTCATGGCCTCATTGTTTCCAGGTTTTTAAAAAAAATATAAACCGACTGTGCATGATTGGCGAAAACAGACATTGTTATATTTGGTAGTTTTTATTTCATACATCCAAAATGTGGTCAATTGCCAGTTTTTTGGGATGCCCTTACAGATGTTTTATATTTTGCCGGTTCCCACCGAAAAAAATCGTACAACTTGTGGCGATTGCAATTCCTAAGCATTTACCGTATGCCGGCACAGGATGCGACTTGGAGATAATACCACAGAATAAACAGAAGGGAATCTTAGAGCTTATCAAAAAACGGTCAGACATATATTGAGAAATAGGTAGTGACGCTAGAACTCAGATATTTCCTTGTTTTTCTCTGACTTATGGCTAAACTGTTAATTTATTAAATGTCGTAGGTACGCCGACAAAAATGTCGTCACCATTTCCCGCGTTTTTCCAGTGAACAGTTAAGCCAGAATGAACGAAAAATGAGAATTTCCCTACACCTATCAGATCATTCTCGATCATATTCAAAATGTCGGACATGATTTTATCTCATCCCATAAGAGCCCGTGTAAAAATTGAATAGTTTCTCTTCTGCTTATTCTGTGATAATATCACAAACTACTATTGTTCTTGAATTGACATAGGTGAGAGAGAGAGGGTGTATGTGAAGGAAATTTTTCTTGTCTTATCAGGCCGGTGTTTTTGAGACGGGAAACTTGCTAGTCACAAAGCGTATGCTGGGGTCATCGACTGCCGCAACGATTTCAACCGCCCAGAGCCCGGTACACACTCACTCACTCACTCACTCACATACACATGCAGAGCTCTGTGGCAAAAAGAGTTTTCTCGTTAAACGGTAGAGATTTTCGTGGTGGTCGGTCATTGACAAAAACGCAACAATAACTGACGACAAAAAAAAACATTTTTAATAGGATCCTAACGGTGGCCGGCCCGGACAGGCATTAGGTACTCTCGTTACACTAATAAACCGTAGTCAATGGACGTGTAACAAAGTAGCTAACGCGGCCGTTCACATTGCGATTTTCGGAATTCGGACAAGGTAAGTACGAGCTACTACCATTGCTATGCGTTGCGCAAAAATTGTCCAAACTCCGAACCGACGCCGCGTTGGTACAAATTATTGTTTGACACGCGCCTTTCGGTTCGCAGGCAACTATCACGAGTGACGTTATACCTATAGATAGCAATTAATAATTATTTGATCATCGTTGTTATTATAAAGTAGAAACGACGATGCCTTTCATCACCATGATGCCTACCTATGCCGCCGCTAACGCGTCCACAAATTGTTGTTTTCTATAAATAGTCACTGTTTCTTATATTTTCACCTACCGTGTTGTCATCTAGCTATTAACAACGCGCAAGTATTATCTAATATGTCAATCGGCGGCGGCATTTTATGTAGTCCAAACATAAATATTGCTGATTGCAATATGTATTAATTTATTAAGCTATATAATATTGTGTAGCGTTTTTGGTACAACTGGTTTTGACGTCCAACAATGTAGATATTATGTACATTATTTCACTGTCGCAGTGATATTATAGTATTGTATTGTTTTTGGTAAAACAAACACACTCTTGGTAGGTAAACAACAATTATAATTTATTACGTGCTGCGCGCGACGGAAGATCACCGTTATACTGTTGGTTTGTTTTATATATATTATATTGTACATTATCATTTATTGTCAATTTCAAGACCCTAGACGCGAGTATAATAATAATGATTATTTTCATTTTCCAATTGGAAGTCCGCGAAGACAACGTGACTCAATGAAAGTGAGTGGCGTCAACCCACAGCAGCTTAAATTATATGTATTTACGCATATACAAATATCCACGAATGATAATAGTATTATAATATAGAGGCTAACAAAATTGTCGCATGCAGCATGACTCAGGTCGTCGTGCACGTACCAACAACTAACAACATTATGCACACCTGTCAGTAAAACTGCGAAAAGTCGAGTAAAAAAAATGTACCCATACGACATACGCTCTTTCATGTACACTCAAATTTGTATCATTCGCCCATGCATAGTATTTTATTGGTGACAGAAGCAACTAGTTGGAGGTGTTTAAAGAAAAACCTATGCTATGTCTGCAAAATCGTATCCGACGAGTTCAGTCGAAGCTCGTTGTCGGCAAGAGCGAAATTATTGTTAATTAAAATGAATGCTACTTTTTTTTGCATAAATATCGTTAAATATATTTACAATATATATACATATATACAATTAAATGCATAGAGTTAATTAAAGAATGGTAATAATGTATTCGTGCCGAGTGTCTACCAACCGGTTTCCATAGACTAGTACAATAATTTTCACTTGCATCAAATAAACTGGTAATAGCATACAAAAAGATGGTGAGAATAATTTTGGAGTTATACAGCGTTTGCTGCTGTTATTATATTATGTTACAACGAAAATACGTCTAATATTATAACGTAATGTAGTGCGAACGTAGTCTCTCTCATGCACGCGAGGGGAGACCTGCTTGTTAGCAGCGGTTGACCCATTTTATTATTAAAAAAAAATATTGTTGTACCTATGCGTGTGGTTGTTATTACTCACATATTATACTCTATTATAAGTACTTCTCGTGATTTTTAGATAGAATCATTACGAAACACTACGAAGATTTTCGATTAACGCATTACAAAACGCAACGATCGAGCGCCACTTGTTATATAAACTAAAGGTCACGGGCGTTTGTAATATTATAATAATATTAAGCTATCACCTATCATCAAATATTATAAATAACAATTATTATACCGAAGCTGACCTCTGTCAAGACACTCCTCTAGCGTTGTAGATACATTTGAAATACTTCTGGCATTTTAAAAACATAAATATATTTGTTTAACTTCGGTGCGGAGTTGAGAAGGTATTGTTATTACAATGATGTTATTTTTCTGTGCTGGATCAACGATATCTTAAATCACCGAGTTTATCTGTGTGTAGCAACTCTATAGATCAGAAATATTATTCGAAAGGTACTTGATTGGGCCAAGAATTTAAAAAGTTGACACCTTCCCCTTCAAAATTGAGAAAAAGACTCAATAAAAAAATGTTTCATTTAAAAGTTACAGCGCTTTGTAACTTTTTTTTAAAAATATTCGTATAGTTATAATATATGTATATATACATCCTTTATTCAAAAATATAACAATACCTATTTTTTTTGCTGCAATACTATGCTATTTTCCACGCGCATTTGGTACTCAATAGAAGAAAGCTATTTATTTTTCCCTCCAGAAACGACGTATTTCCTTGTTTTTTGATATTGTATAACATTTTGTTTTACCCGTCTAAGATTCGTCGAAGGACAAACAACAGTTCGGACTAATAATACGTTATTACTACACCCGCAATGCGAGAACTCTTGTGAATATGCGTTTGAGTAATAACATAGGAAAATTACGAACATAAGTGCTTATTACCAACTTATTGTACAATACATAATTTAATAACGTGGCATAAACACTCGTTTAAACACTGGAATACTACTACTGCTATACCTTACATTCAATATCCTATAGTTGAAAACAAAATCGAACCGATTGTCACTTCGAAAACCGCAACATAATCTGCAAAATAAGCGTACGTAACACACGCACGCCAGTAGTACACTACAAGTCAAGTAATTACAATATCAATTTGTAAACTAATTTTTAGGTAATAACGAGTATAGCGCTCATGTTAGTATTGAAAAACGGACGACAACGTTTGTGTTTGAGGACGGATATCGTTACGGAACCAGAACTAATAATCCCGCGTCGATGACAAATCGCTACGTGGATTTTGTTCAGACTTTAGTCATACTTGTCAGTTGTGCGAGAAGCGAAAAACGCCTTTGTTGTTTACCTACCCATAAAATGTGGGCTAAGTTGATTTCAGGTTTTTGCGTTACCGTGCAGCATTACTTAATCCCCTGGTTGACAATCGACATAGAAGAAATTGGAAATCGTTTATACACCGGTGAACGGTAAGTGTGTAATTTTTTCTTGGACGATACTCCTAGAATTGATTATGATCGATTAATTGAATTAGAGAAAGAGAGTCAAAATTAGGATCGCACGGTCGTGACGAATATAAACCGTTCACAATAAGAACAAATTTGTAAGTATAAAATATAAATAAAAATTGCTTTCGTGGGTTATCATAGCAGTGTCTAGTGGAAATCGCGAGATATTTCTTATAAGTTACGAGTCATAAGTCAAGACTTGGTACAAATTAACCTTTTTTTATTTTAACCCTGTATGATGATAACGTTACGGAATCCCGAGTGTAAAACATTTTTGTTTTTTAAAATGGGGCTATTTAGAAAAAATATACAGATACTATTATTAGATAGACGTTTTAAATTTAGATAGTGAACCTATTATGCGATAATAACCATAATATAAATATCCTTTGTATCATTGGGTATCATCAAAAAATGAAATGGCGATTGAAAACGCCGATCCGTTCACAATGTTAAGTTTGTGTATGCCGGTGAGGTCATCGATCTCAGCGGTATT